AATAAACTGGAAACTGTTTTTTAAACATAACTTTGATTAATTTAACTTATTTAAATATAAAATGAAATGATTTAAGTATACAGATAACATAAACAAATGTTGCTAAGTTGTTCTAGTTGTTTCTGTATCTGAACGCACTTCCACGTGACAATTTTCTAGATAGGATACTCGTCGAAATGTTTTCAATGATGATCGATTGACGAAATCTTTTTTATGTTTTGAATTCAAACTGTGAAGAAATGCAATTCAACAAAATTTCAAAGACATTAAAAGCGTAATTCAGGTGATACTTGGACTGTAAAATTTCACAAAATAATGGCATCAAATCTACTTGGAAAAACTTCAAATACTTTTTTCTGCGCTGTTAATCTGTATTGAAAACATTAATCCTTTATAGGAAGCACAGGCTCTGGGAAATCATATCAAATTTGATGTGTTTATTCCACATTGTATAGCTGCTATAATGCTGCTGAAGATGCCTTTAAACTTGGTATTTTTTTCAAATTCAATTAAGATGAGAAGTTGGCGACAAGCTGTTATTGTTGTACGAAAAGACACAATCTCGTTAACATTTGTCTATAGATATAAGAGGATGTGGTATGAGTGCCAATGAGACAACTCTCCATTCAAGTCAAATTTTATTAAAGTAAACCATTATAGGTCAAAGTACGGTCTTCAACACGGAGCCTTTGTTCACACTGAACAGCAAGCTATAAAAGGCCCCAAAAATTACTAGCGTAAAACCATTCATCCCGGAAAACCTAATCTATTTAAAAAAACGAGAAACGAGAAACACTTATGAACCACATCAACAAACGACAACTACTGAACATCAGATTCCTGACGTAGGACAGGTGCAAACAATTGCAGCGGGTTTAAACGTTTTAATGGTACCAAACCTTCACCCGTTTTTTGAAACAATAGTGTAACATCACAACACAGAAAGACACACTATAAAATATCAACTGAAATTGCTTAACTCAATCAAAGGACATATCAACACCAGTGAACATACACTGAACAAATAAATTTGACCTATGATACAATGCAAATACAAAATAAATTAATACTAAATAGCTATTTAGATCATTTGTATAAAAACTGCTTTAAACTAACACATTATTGTCTAATGCAATGTCCGTATACGATATCTGTCTCTACTTCAAATTTAGTAATATAAAACTTCACATTCAATTTGAAGGATACAACCGCTTGACGTTTTTATATAAAACACCAACTTCTACACATCGTGTGGTCTTCGTCGGACGCACCAAAACAGTCGTTTACACCATTGCAAAGGTCATATTCCGAAAAGCACTTTTCTTCATTATAACATTGGTATCTTCTCTCTTTTGTTATATCGGTGCATGTTTTTACTCACTATACAATATGAGTTTTGCTAATAGTTGAAAGCCGTATCGTAACCTTTCGTAGTTCACATCCTCGAATTTTGGTCGTTGATGGATACTGGTCTAGCTGGCAATCATAACACATTTCCTTATTTTTGTATTATAAAAAATCCTTTAATACAAACAGAAATATCTCCAAAAAATCAGTTACAAAAACTGAAGAAATCGAACAAAGGAATAAAAGCCTACCTTAGTTAGAGAAAAGCTATTAAACGAAGAATTCACGATAAGTTAAAATCATTCTTTCGAAAATTTTGCATACCGTTTTGGAATATCTGTTTCCAAAAGGACGACAGATATATTACAATTGTCGTAACCACAATCCCGTCCTCATTTCCTTGAATGTGACCTATCGAATTAGACTTATCATGTTTGTACTTACTCTAACTAAGCAACATGTTTTGCACTGTTAAAAGATCATGCGATTGCCTCAAATATTTGATATTTATTTGTGTTTTCAAATTTTATTTTCGAATTTTTAACATCTTTTACACTATGTTCCACTACGTTATTTTACATCATTGAATTTTTTTTAATTATTCATTTATTGATTTGTTAATTTCTATCATGGTTTAATTATAACATCATCTGATGTTTGTTACAACTTGACTTGTGAAGGTTAGGATTGAGTCGTCATTGAATGTTCGAATTAAATGTATGAGGAGAATGTCCCTTAATTTCGAATTTACAAGATTAAAATCACTAAACAACATGTTCTGGAAGTTTTATGAACAACTTATTGTTATCATTGGAAATTTTGTATCTTAAGAAATAAATGCATGATAATAAAAGATACACTTTACTGAAATTTAAATTCAGACATTGTGCTGGTAGAATTGTATCTAAATAACTAAATAAGATCACGTTATCGGGAAACATTTATTCCAGAAATAAGTTTACCTTATGAATCATTTACCAATGTGCAGTAACCCTTTACATTTACTCAAAAGATGATATACATATTGAACTATGTTTATCAAGTATTTTGGCCTTGAACATCACCGATGAGACATTAATTGTCGAAAAGCGCATCTGGTGCAGTTAAATTTGATCCGTTTATGTTACTTACGTAGTTGTTACATAGATAATTTACTGAATTTAAACACGAAGTTAATCCGAGCAGGACAATACTATGATCACATATGCGTATACGAAACTAGTGTATTACTAGAATGGTCGTTAGAGACTTGAATCCCTGGAATGTAAAAAATTCTTACCGTAACTATAATATTTAATTTCAATTTCATACTAACTACCTAGTTCTGCAATATATAAAGGTCGTACAACAAAGTTTTATCAATTATTCAAGTGTAGTTTTCTGTATTAGTCTTTATAAAATAGCTCAATTTGAAACATTTCATCAAATTATAATAATCGTTACTACAATTTTAAAATGACTATCGAAATAGGTTCTTAATTTGATCTAAAAAAAAAAGTGAATCAAGACAAATTGAAAGATCGAGTAACTACATCTAGTGTTTTCATTACACAAATTTAATGCTAAGTTATCGAAGAAAATAAGACAACTTATCATTTTAGAAATAATTCAACGTTGATCATATCGTCGTTCCGAGTAATGAAATGTTTAATCAGAAACAAACTGTATTTGGTTTGTTATAAATTAGGCCGTTAGTTTTCTCAATTGAATTGTTTCATATTTTTCATGTTGGGGCCTTTTATAGCCAACTATACGGTATGGATTTTTCTCATTATTGAAGGCCGTACGGTTGCTTATAATTGCTTACATCCTTTTCATTTGAACGTTTGTGGATAGTTGTCTCATTGGCAATCATACTACATCTCCTTATTTTTATATTTTCATTTACAAGCACTGGGTCGATACCACTGCTGGTGGACTATATAGACCAGAAGAGTGTTATCATCTCAGTAGTCAGTGCTTCACTACTGACATGACTTATAACAATCTTTTCTTAAATTCTTCCTCGAAAAATATAAACTTTTCTTGTCCCTTTTTGTCAGATAGCTCCTCGTGTTTATGTGATTATACATCCCTGGCTTTTAAATTTTTAACTGAGTGGTCGGGATCAAAGTTCATCCAGAAATGGAATCGGATACATGCAATTAGTAAAGTGTTCTTTTATTTTACTAGAAATGGGTCGATATAACTGCTGATGGACTGTTAATCCTTGAAGGTATAATAAACTCAGTGGTTAGTGCGTCGGTACTAACATGAGTTAAAATAACCTCTTCTTAAATTCTGTGTTGATAACATTTACTGTACACCAGGTGCGCATTTCGAAAATTAATGTCCCCTCAGCCGAAATTTTTTTTTATGTGTGTATCAAACACACAAAAAAAATTCAAAGTAACGCCAATTAGAATAATTAAGAAACTAAGGTTCCAATTGCTTTACATGAATTTGGCCAATGTGTAAGGTCTCTTTTAGTATATTCATTCGTATATGCATTAACAGATTCTTAGCTTTCAAACTTTTTGAGCTTGAGCATTCTTGATGAAGGTTAAAGCGTTTTGGATTAGTTAAATTATCAAAAATTTATTTTCATTAACTAGCATTGGGTCGATATCACTGCTGGTGGAATGTTAGTCTCAGAAGGTATCATCATCTCCGCAGTCGGTGAGTTGGGATGCCTTTTTAACTTTTTTTTTATTCTAGCGTCACTGATGAGTCTTTTGTAGACGAAACGCGCGTCTTGCGTTCAAAATTTCAATTCTGGTATCTATGATGAGCTTATTTACAACTACTGGGTCGATGCCACTGCTGAGAGGTTAAACCCATAGGATATCACCAGCACAGCAGTCAGTACTTCGGTGTTGAAATGAATTATCATCAATATGGTCATAATTATGAATAAACTGTTTACCAAAATTTAGATTTTTTTCAAAATACTAAGGATTTTCTAAGAATAGATTACCTCAGCTTTTTGACAAAACCTTTCGGAGCTTTGAGTCCTCATTGCTCTTCAAATTCGTTCTTTATTTGGCCTTTTTAACAAAAAAAAGTCGCAAGTGGCCATTACCTCGGAAGAAACCCAACGGCAGAAAAAGCCTCAAGACAACAAGAGCCAAGTTTGTCCTCACGGAAACGATACTTTATAATCAAACATATTCAAATGTTGATATATGACTGCACACATTTCTCAAAAGCCTGGTCTCAATTCCGTTCAGTAATTTGGAAAAATATTAATTAGAATAACTCTTCCAAGATACTGCGCTTTTCGTCTACATAAGACTCATCAGAAACAAAACAGTAAGAAGGCTAAACCAATTTCTATTAAACGAAGCTGAAGAGCGTTGAAAACAACAATTGAAAAAAGTGGGCAAAAATCTTACTTGGACTCTCTATACACTATGCACCTCAGTGTTCGAATGATTCTAATATCCTATGAATAGTATATTTATATCAAATAACTGCATCATTGATATATAATGTCAACATACTTCACTTGGCTACCTCGGTTGGTTCCCAACTTAACAACTTTTTAATATATTTTGTAAATCTCTCAGGCTATTCTCTAGATGATACATTAATATTTATCGGATTGGATCTAAAATATACTTTCAGTAAAATATATAGAAATTACTTGTATTTCTTATTCATTTTTCATACAATTAAGTTGTACATTTATTTCTTCCCATAAACTTCAAATAAAAAATACAGAACTTTTCTTGTCAAATATTTTATTTGTTCAACTGCATGTATCCCAAACACAAGCATGCAAACCTATCTTTGTAGATTTCCCTATGTAGTTGTATAATAAATTAAACGTTGAAAACTACCTCATTTATCAGAATCTTGATAATTTAAATATAAAAGCGAAGATCATATTGTTTTCCTTACCGTGTTGATATAAATGGTAATTTTAAAACCTATCAAACATATCAGCCTTACAATATAGAACGCTAAACGCGCGTGTCGTCTTCACAGGACTCATTAGCTGTGGTCAATTTAAAAAAGTTGGAAGACCAAATTAAATACATAGAGAGCATTAAAAACAGAAAATTTCGAAAATTTGTGCCAAATACGGCTAAGGCTTTCATTTCCTGGGGATAGAAAAACCTAAGTGTTTCGAATAATTCAGCATTGTATAAACAGCTAGTTTACAGAAAATGACTTTATCAATGATTTTCATGTCAACACAGAAGTGACAGTGGTTGTAAAAACTCATCAAATATGCTAGGTTTACAATTGGATTAAAACATTTTTGACGGAGTTGATTTATATACTGGACCAATTCACTTAGATACGAATAAGAGACAGTGATAAAATAAGCATCTATTTGTGGGCAAATTTGTCCACGTAACACACCAATAACATTCAGAAAATATATGTTCAGTCCTTGTGACAGTTAAAACTATTTGGTATTTGTTTAAAAAAATAAATATCGGAACGAATACCCATTTATCCCCTTCAAATAAGATAGGTTTGCACTTAGCTGTTATAATGAATTAAAAGACTTAAAGTGCTTCGAGCGAGCTAAAGTTTGTTGATTTTCAAGTTTGCTTTTCCATTTTCCGACAAACACTGTACATGTAGTAAATGCTGAAATATACAGCAACGTTTGCAAATTTATGTTCATGTCTTGTTTTTTTTATCACCTTTGCATTTTACAATTATATTTGTCTACCTATCAAAGTTTTCAAGACAATAAAAAAGGAATTTAAACGTGCACGGAGACTACACATTTCCGTATAAAAGGTATTGCAAATACAACCACCTTAAAAATAATACACATTCCAGCAAAAAGGAAACTACGCAATTACTCAACAGTAATACCAGTAGTTATTTTTTAAAGATATACACCCTTTACATTTGGTATAAAAATGTAACGGGTAACGAGACATTTACTACTCCGCAAAAGTTTGAAAACTTATCATGGGTTATCTTTCGTCTGATTTTAACGTGAATAACCGACGGTTGCAAAAAGTGAAACAGGAATTACATTCATGAACAGGTTGTAACCGTACAAAAAACGGGAAAGAAACGTCTGTCACTTCCGGAGTATCCCAGTTAAGGAATTAAAGAAATCATGAGACAATCACTCTTTAAAAATAAAAGCATGCATGTTTGTATGTTTGTCCTGAAGCTTTGTACTGGGTCGTATTATTGCTCTCAATTGATGGATACAAAGTCATAGCATATAGCAGAAATAATAATGTTATGGTATTTAATTTCTAGCCCTTGGAAGGAAATCTTACCCTCGTATGCCTGAAATTTCTATTTTTGCACTTTAACAATCGTAACGGTATTATACAATATTATATCTACTTATAAAATCTTGCAAACAAGTTACTTATGAAATAGATATTGTCGTGATATATAGACTGTTCAAATGACAGCTGTACTGACATTTCATTGCAGAAACAAAAAATTGTAGGCAAATGCGAGTGCTGAAAATATCCATCAATATCAACAGTGCGTCTATAGGAATCCTTAGTCCTTCTATGCCTCTCCTCAAACAAAATATTATCATGGCAACAACTCTCGAGCGTTGTCATAGAAAGTACTGAACCACTGGTGCATATAAAAAGGCATCCAAGACGTTAATATCATGATAATGTTTGGTGAATTTTTTAACTGCCGGTTGATGACAATAATAGGTATAGGAAAATCACATTTGGCATCACTTTTGATAGCTTTATTTGTTTCGTATGTTTACAAAACTGGTATACATATCCACAATTTTATTTTCAGTTGACGTTTCTGCCTCTGTAACAAAGAAAAAACCGTACATACTAAAATTCATGGAAATAATAATAAAAAAAAAAACAAAAACACATATATAGTTCATCGTTATGGAAGTGTACAAAAAGTATGTTTTTGATAATGTATTTAAAAAACAAATTTCATTGTCTGGTATTGAGTTATTGTTATAATAAGAGCATATACATTCCTATTAGGGGACATTAGACGAAACATGAATCCAAAAGTTTCAATATTCTGTCGACTTAAAATATCAACCAATTTTTAATACTTATAGTTTTTTTGCAATAAACGTTTAAATTATCACTTGAAACCGAAGATAAGATTGTTTTCATTCATGAAGATGTATACTTTTTCTCATTTAATTGATAGTTTTAAAAAGTTTGCCTATTCTGTTAGGTTCCATTTTGCTCATATAGCTCCTCAAATATTTATAAATCGCCGGATTCCTGTTTTTTTGTTATGAGTGTTCAAGATAAAAAGAAAAGAGCTACGGACACAATAAATATAAAAACAATTATTTATTTTAATTGAAAACAACCAATAAGTATTTATATATCCCAGTCAGTCTTATGGATTGAAAATATTTTGATAAAATAAATGACATGTATAAACAGATCACCACCATACGAGACAATGTTTATCTGACAAATCCATGACAAATATGAAACAGTCCCTGTCAATCTAATATAAAACAACTAATAATTGTTAAGTTAAGATCTTGTAAGAATTGTAAACATACATTAGTTAGAATTGATATATATTTGATGAACTCTTAAGTTGCATGTCATTTATCAATTATCATAGAATACTCTCTTTTGTCCCATTGTTTCAGTTCCTCAGTGTATGTGAGCATTTCAATCTATGTAATAATTTCATGCATTTCGTAGAATAACTTACAGAAAGGTTTTCCAAGTGAATTCAAACCTATAATCTGTCCATATATGGTAATGTTCCCTTTCACCTATTTCAGTTTAAATACTATACTAAAAACGGAAAAATACCGGCGTCCTTTTCTCGTTGTAACAACGTTGTTTGGATACTGATATTCTATGGCTGTCGTTGGTTGCTGCCTGTCTTATTTGGTTTTCGTTTAGTGTTTTGTTTTTTATCAGGCCTTTGGTTTTTTCTCGTTTGAATTTTCACATTTTATCATGTCCGAGTCTATTATAGCTGACACAACGGGATGGGTTTTGGTCATTATTAAGGCCGTATATTAAGCTATAGTTGCTTACATCTATGTCATTTAGACTGTGGTGCTTATTTTCGTATAGGCGATCATACCGCATCTCCTTATTTCATATTATGTAAGGATCCATGTAAAAATATGCCATGGAGTGCCAAAGTTGCATTGTCTTTAAATCAGTTTTGGAACAACAATGAAATAGCGTTGTAACAATAATATATAAAGATCTCACAATAACGTTCTCACAGCATTGTAAAGCAAGGAGTGATGAGCGTGTCAAGTAGTGTAGCAATTGCTCTATTTTAAGGAATAACGCTTTTGAATTTTATCAAAAAAAATCTTACCGACTTTACTAGTTCGGCCAGCCAGGAAGTTACAAATAAAAAATAATTTAGCTCATTTTTTTTCGCTTTTCTTTATATGGAAATTATAAAGATTGATAGAACTTGCTCGTTTTACCACCTTTGAACCAGATTTTAAAAGCCTCAAATTTGTGGCAAGAGATACAGATTCGTTCGATTCTAAATAAAATATCCTTGTTATTTTTTGAAATCTGTAAAATATATAACTTGTACGGCAACGTTCGATGAACTGAGGTCAAACAATGGAGATGTACTTACCTTGTATAGGCGTCTTCACAGTTTTGGAGAGTTGATTATTACTTCCTGAGGTATTTTCAACTGTTATTTCCCTGTTTTGACACATACACAATTTTTTAAAAAGAACTCGAATATCAGCAGCAAATACCGGTAATTCCTTTATAATGATATTACATTTTATAATATACACCACACTGGTTTCTTATTATTTTTACATAGCAGACTCAATTCTTAAACTTCAATTTCAAACTTATACTTTGGAGCAAAAAACTATATTAGAAGATCAACTATTTCAAATAATTATATCATAGTTTTAACATAACATTATAAATAAAATAACTTTTCGAACTGATCTATGTATCATTTTAAATTGATTTATTGGTGTGATCTCATTCATCTGATAGGTTTGCCTTTTTTCTAAGACGTTTGCTCTTTTTTTTTATGTGTACCGGTATCAATACAAAATTATATATGATCTCATGTTCTTCTCCACTATGCCATAAATAGTTTTAAAACATTATATGGATGATGATGCACATGTTTATTTTCTCTAAATTGCCTATTTTGTAAAATCAGAAAGAGATATATATTGAGTTTAATAAACATAATTACCTCCCTAGGTCTGACGTTTGTGTATTATCTGAAAATATAAAAAATAATTTCTTCTATCTTGATAACCTTTTCAATTTCAAGTTTATTAAAAACTTTAATACTAGTATTATAAATGTGGTCCTACTGTAAATGTTTAATGTGATACAATCATAAGAAAGGAAAATCTAATTCAAGCGTTAAGATTTTACTTAGTTCAATACATCTTGCTTGGTTAACTTCTTAAGGTAGGCCGATGGAAAACTTTTACTGTTTACTGGAATCGAAGTGAGATAAATTCACAATGGAAGGGGGAGGGGTACATATATGAATGGAGTCTAAAATTGTCAAAACTATCTGTGGATTTTTTTTTTTTAATTATCGTTTAATTATTGTTCTTTAAATTTACATAATTGTCTATGAATTTATAAAATTGCACGACATGATCAACATAGTATATACCGGAACAGGACATATATAGAAATAAGAAGATGTGGTATGAGTGCCAATGAGACAATTCTATATGATTACATGAACCAATCTCTAATGTTTTGTACAAATTTGGCTAGAACCATAAATTCGTTCGATTTTATTGAAATGCTCTCTTCGGTTGTTTTCCGTATAGATATATAAAGTACATTATTTCATGAATAGTAATAAAAACTGTATTCAGAAGCAATGCAGCTCATAGTATTAACTTTATGTATGTTCTTTTACCAAGCCAGGAATTTGTTATTCGGTGGTTGTCGATGGTTTATGTCTGCCATTTTTCTTTTTCTTAAATTGTATTGAAAAAAAAAACTTGCCGTTAGTTTTCTCGTTAGTTATCTTTCACATTTTATAATGTCGTGAATTTTTATAGCTGACTATACGGAATCGGTTTTGATCATTGTTGAAGGTCGAAGGATGACCTATACTTTGCTTACATCCATATCATTTAAACTCTGGTTGATAGCTGTATAATTGTCAATCATACATCTCCTTATTTATATATTATATAAATGTTCAATTCATCAGTGTCATACTTAACATTATCATTATAGAATGTATGCATATGTTAGGGATTGACCACCATCATATAATAAGTAAGGGATATCAACTACATGTGACGGATTTTTTTCGGCATTTAACAAAAAAAAAGATCAATTAAATAACACCCTGAAGAGTCTCATATGACATTAGTCTGTCAGGTATCTGTGTTTATATTTTTGAATTTTTATTACACATTTGCATAAGAGCTTCAGACTTCTTGAATTTTGTGCAAAGCTCCACACTTTACCACTAATAGTGTAAAATTTAGATATTGTCATTTATATCTAGATATGAGCAACGCCAAAAAGATGTTTTGCTATTTGTATTTAACACATGATTTGCTCGTATTCATTATGCCCAAAGCCTATGTGTACAATGGTCATTTTATAGATATAAGAAGATGTGGTATGAGTGCCAATGAGACAATTCTCCATCCAAGTCAAAATTTATAAAAGTAAACCATTATAGGTCACAGTACGGTCTTCAACACGGAGCCTTGGCTCACACCGAACAGTAAGCTATAAAGGGCCCCAAAAAATTACTAGTGTAAAACCATTCAAACTGGAAAACCAACGGTCTAATCTATATAAAAAACGAGAAACGAGAAACACTTATGAACCACATCAACAAACGACAACTACTGAACATCAGATTCCTGAATTAGGACAGGTGCAACTATGCCAACTATGCCAATTTCAGCACGTTTATGACATCATAATAATTATATTACATGTAGGTTTCATTAGAACCGTAATGTTTGATTGGCGGACAATAATCGCGAGACACTCCAATATCATATTCTATTTCTCTATAAAATACAACAGTTTTGACTGTATGTGCTATCCGTGACAATGTTAAAATGATGCATTAAAAACAAACGAAAAGCTTGATATAACTCTTTTTTCATGATTGTGGTATAAAAATGTACTTTTTTAATAAGTCATAGGGTTGTAAAAGAAGTGATCGTGTGCGCAAATTTAATATGAAGGAGGCACGGATCTAGCCATTTTGAAAGGGGGGCAACCCACGGGGCACCATGAATCGTTCACATAATTAAATCCACAAAACACCCCCAGAATCCACCTATGATGAAGCACTTTCGTGCTTCCTACAAAATGTGCTTCGGTCAACGCTTTTACACCCTGATAGTAATACAAAAAGAAGCACTCAATTAAAAAAAAACTCACAAGTGACCTTTCTGTACTAAAGTGTCCAGATTAAATGTAGGTGTTCATTTCTCAATACAATTCTAAAAGGCTTGAAGCGTTTTACTATTTTTGCAATTTCAGGGGACAAAAATGTTTTTGATGTTTTACCTTATTTATAAAGATTTTGTTGAAAACTTTATGGTTTTTTCCCAATTATATTGTTTAATACATTGTTTTCTAACATCACGATGCCTATTAAGGGGGCTCGCGGGTTCAAATTTTCGCGCCAACTGCGCAGGAAGTTGCGCATCGATATCGCAAGTCATCCTATTGTCGTAATTGTCAATAATAATTAATTTTGATTATTATAAATAATCTATTTGATTTAAATATATAACAAAAGAATGTTGTTATCGAAAACTGTAATTCTAGAATTTTACAAACAAATTTATTGCTATTTTCATTGTTGCAAATGCACTTCCGTTTTGTGGTAATGGCATGTTCTTGCCGGCGTGAGAAGATAAACACAAGATAAATCACAATAATCGAACACGTGGGCTGCTTTTCATGAATACTGAAACAAAGATCGAAAATATTAGAACACGATCTTCATTTTAGTAGCTTATGAAGCAGTTTCACACTTGTTTTACACTAGAAATGAACCCGGAAATATGCGTAAAATGTGTGTAATATTTTGTAAACAAACAAGGAATATAAATGTAAGTAATTCTTCTTTAAGTTTCTACCGATGCGATCCTTCGTTTATTGAAGATATATTTTACATCGTGTTCGAATGATCCCAGCACAAGAATGATTCACGACCGTAAAATCATTTGAAAGTTATTTTTTAACAGAAATGGGAAAAACAGCAAAAAACAGGGACAAACATTAATGTGTATTACAAATTATATAAAATTGAGAATGGAAACGGGGAAAATTACATGTCAGGACAACAATCCGACCAAATAGCAGAAGATGACCTGTGGCCACTATGGGTATAATGGGTCTTCGGAATGACAAATGTAAAACAATTCAAACGAGAAAACTAACTAAAGTGCTAATTTATGTACAAAAAATGAACCAATAACAAAAATGTGACACATCAACAAACGACAACCACTGAATTACAGGCTCCTGACTTGGGACAGGCACATACATACAGAATGTTGTCTACACCAGACACAATAAGTAAATTAATACTAATGACTATTTGACTTTTCGGGGAAAAAGGCAGGAGTTTCTTTTGCAAACAGAATTTTCATTTACTCTGTTGTTAGTTTAGATTATTAGTCCCCTACCGACTAAGTCGAATGGGACTTTTGGTTTGCACTCTGTCTGTCTGTCCATCCATCAGTAACCCCACCACGCTCTTTTTCTAAAATTCTGGGTCCCTCCTGTTGATTATTCATGTAAAACTTAGCAAATATCATACTGTGTTGATTATTCAATGATAGCATGGATAAGGTGAGGTGCATATTGAACTATATATTTCAAACAATTTACTGTTGTATTAAAATTTTGTTGTCTTTGTTAAATTTTATGTCAAATGTCTTAATTAATAAAGTTATATCAGTATGTGTTTTGCTAGAACAGTACACTTTTCATGGACAGAATTAAAAAGTTAGATGAATTCAAATCGGGCTATGCTTATAAATTAGTTGGAATTGAAAAAAGAGGGTACATGTAATAGTTCTTATAATTATTTTCAAAGTGGCAAAATGTAAAAGGTTATTCAGGTTATTTCATTGATTCGTTACTTTTATAATTTCTTTATTACATACAAATGAATGTACATTTTCATTTTTTGTATTTTTAACATATGGGAAGTGAACGGCCATACTTTGAGTTAGAGCTGGTAGATATTCTATGATCTTAATATATATTTTTGCCTAAAAGTAGAACATTATATAAAAAAAAAGATGTGGTATGATATCCAATAAAACAAAAGAACAAATGACACAGAAATTAACAACAATAGGTCACTGTACCGCATTCGACAATGAGCAAAGCCCATACCACATAGTCAGCTTTAAAAGGCCTGTAAAAATTTATTGAGAAGTCTAGTGTGTTTTTTTATATTTTCATTTACCATGTATTGTCTGAAAGAAATGCAGGTAACAAAATGTTACAAATATGTTTCTAGGATTTCGAAAAAAGGAGCAAAAGCCTTCTCAAAATAGGCAACGGTTGAAGTGGGAAAAGGCTATGAATTAACCATATTTGTACATTCCCTAAATCCACCTCTTTAAAATAATGAAATAATTTTATTTTCAAACTGAATAGACATTTTTTATAGACTTTGCATGACCTTAGACATGTTAGAGTAGGGAATTATAAAAGAGTTGACAAAGTAAATATACAATCTTTATTAAAGACAATACTGGTATATCCATTTTAATCATGTAGCTTAGGTAGTTTATTTTTTACATTAATTTATTTAACAATGTTAAATGCCCTAAAATATTATGTAGCATGTATGTGAAGCAATTGAAGAATCATTCAGTGTATCAAGGATTCAAGATTTATTACAATTATTCAAAATTTAAATTAATGTGTGTCTGAAAAATAAAAGATTATCCAAAGAAGGTGGCTTTACATGCATGATGCATGACATAAAAATGTTTTTTTTTTTCTTCCAATTTAAAATTTTTAAGGTTTTTTAATTCTTCCACATGAGTATAAAACGTGTTTGGCCATGTATAATTGAATAGAAAAAAAACGACAGTGCAAGGGCTGTATAGCCAGTCAAGGTCGTTAAAACTCCCATCATCATCATGATTGAAAAAAGTTATTTCCCAATGGTCAATTTAGGCAATAACGCATATTTACACATAAAAATTAATACAGAAGCTATAGGAAGTACAATGTACGCTAATGCAATATATTTTTCAATTTTTAGTGGAAAACTTGCATGTAATTTTAGTCCCAATTGTTATACACATGTTCATTGTATTTGGTGAACTTACTATCCTACCAAAGAAAATAAAGGTAGTATATGAAATGAAACAGGTACACTTATCAAAATAATTTACTGTTGAGAACTTTATCAATCTCAAAAACACTGTTTTCGCATAAAAAAACATGTGTGCATTTAAATTAATTGTAAGAGGGAGGAAAAGGGGGAGAGGGGGGGGGGGGGGGGGGGGTAGATAGGTATTTGCATAACTGATTATACAGAACAGGATTTTTAAAAATTGGCACACTTTGAAAAGAAAATCATAAGGTTATATGAATAGAATAAACCTGTGAAGTTGGCCTGCTACTAATCAAACCATGCAATTCAACACTTTAAAATTAGTTATTTTTTGGGGGGAATTTATTGAATCTAAATAAGTAATTTATGGGAACTGAAATTTGATCATAAATGAGTACTTTTGTCACAATACTGCATGTTGTTATTTATATTTATTTGAAAAAGTTACCAAGATTGGATTTTATTATGCCCTGCCACAAATGTGGATGGATTATATAGATTGATACTAGTATACCTTTGTCAGTCCATAAGTATGTACATCCCTTTCCAGTAAAGTTTTGCATTTATCTCTATTTTTTAGAAACTAATGGTAATGTATCAGTGATATTTTTTCTCCACAGACATCTTGTATACTAGTAATGCTAGTAGTACTATATATTACTTGAGTCACTTTAATTTGACCTACATTTATTGCTTTTTTGTCTTTGGTTAAGTCTTGTGTTTAGGTTCATTTCACAGAAACCTATTGTGATATATCATCACTACAGTATTCTTTAATGATACCACACAGGTCATCAACAATTTGATTACCGTGACCTACATTTAATGGCAGGACATCCTGTGTCTTATAGACACATTTTCTATTTAATTCAAATCTAATAACACACTATTTAACCTGAAATTTTTTATGTATGTAATTTCAAAAGCATAAAACGGATAAACTGACAGATATAAAAAAAGGATTATATGGCGGGTGTATCAGGTTCAACTATCTCATGTGTTAATTTTTATACACAAATAAGTACTAGGAAATGAAAGAAGAATTTGTCTATGTCAAACTTAGATATGCTCCTGTAATAATTCTATTATACAACAAACATAGAAGCTGTCCTGTGTGCTATATTTCTCAGCATTGTTTTTAAAATTTCAAATATATATAAAAAGGTGGGATATACGGGGCATGATTGCCACTGAGAAAACTTGCCACCAGAGACCAAAAGAGATAACAGTTAAGAGATATATGGCCTTCAACAATGAGCCAACTCCATACCGTTTGGCAAGCTATAAAACCAAATGACAAATGTAAGGCAATTCAAACATATCAAAACAGCCTGATTTATGTACAAAACACCAATAAAATAAAAATACCTTGCAAAATTTCATCAAAATTGGAATACTAATGTTAGAGGTCCCTGAGGTGGGATATTTATTGCAGATGAGGGATTGTCTTGTAAACTGAAAAATCAGTTTAAGTCAGGTGTCTGAGTGAGTCTCTAGGTTTCATAAAAAAGGCAAGTTTTATTACAATCAAGCAAGAGATACTAAAATTATCAACTGAAACCAGTGGTATTAAACAAGTGAACGAGCAGACAAACTAAGAACTATTTGCCTCAGGGATTCCACAGTCCATATAAATATGCAGGTTCTAAAAACAAACACACCCCGATTGTAATAGATACTGCCTGATCATTTTTCAAATAGTTTGGTATTGAATTTGAACTGAAAATTTTAAAAAATCCCAAAAATTAGTGATTTTCCATTTTGACTGCTGGTTGCCATGGCAACCAATATGCAAATCAACTGTTTGGAAATGTTATATATATTATATATGGTCTTACATGTATAGAGGGTATAACAAGTTTTTATAACCAGGTCTCTCTATATCTGGTCTCAAAATTAGAGAAATGTGTAAAAGACAGAGTTATCTCCCTTTTTGAAAAAATGCTCATTATTTTTAATGATGTATATTTTTTGTCTTAACTAGACGGTGACTTGTTGATTTTATTTTTTATTATTTAAAAAGACTATTTCAGCAACAGAAAAAACACAAACATTAAAAAATCCTATATTAGGTTTCATGAGAAATTCTTCAAAAAAGATGGCTATGCATTCATTTCCCTATCATTTCTATAGTAATCTTGAATGAAAACCAATAAACTTGAACCCTTCAAAAAAAATTTAACTAGACGGTGAACTCATTTTTTTATTTTTATTTTCCAATTAATAGATGATAAAGTTCATTTATAAAAAGAATTAGCCAAATCCTATATTAGATATTTATACCACCCAGCCACCTAAATTCAAAAATAAAATTTTATAAGAAATGTTGGCAGTATTACCCGCTACACTATTTTCAAACATTGAAGAATCTCTTACCTTTTGCAGGCATCTTCATAGATTCGTAAAGACCAGTCCTACTATCTGATAGATTCATAACTTTCAATTCCCTGTTGTTGAAATTATGCAGTCATCTAATACAATCAATCATTTACTGTTTTTTTTAATTTATTTATAGTGCTACCATATATAATATTTTTACATAAATATATACAAAATCAATCAGCAAGCCTTCAAAGGCTTACGAAGTACTGTCAGAAAATATCTATTAATACTAATTGACGTTGCTATATTTTACATACCAATCATATTTTTTCTTAAATATCCTTCTTTTGGAACGCTCGATGCTTCAAATTTGGAAGTAAAATTCCAAACGAACTATTTGAAGCAAAATACCGCATAAAGATGTGAAGGTTAACAATTTAAAACAATGATATAAAGGTAAAAACATAACCTTATACTTTCAAACTTTTCAAACGGATTACGAACAGTAATTAAACCGTTGTACATTTGCCTTTGTTTCTTTCCGTGTTCGTGTAGTGAGTATGTGTCATAAATTGATTGGCCATAATCTTTTTCCATTTTTTGCGTTTCAAACCGATTTTTTCTATGACAAAGATATTTTTTTCTGATATATTTATTGGCCTTATTCAATGTTATGTACTAAATTAAGTTCTATGTTTTCGTCTAGTATGTCTACATATAAATTTTTCGTAGGTCAGCATATGGATGTTGATACAAAAGTTACGGTAATTGCTTTTTTTTCAAATCAGTGAACTTAAAAGCAGGTGTTTTTACTTCACCGTAAATATTGTGCATATGATTACCTCAGTGGGTCTACCATTGATGTTTTTGCTGAAAAAAAACATTGATTAAATTGACATTTTAATGTTAATTTCAAATGTCATGACATAGTTGTGGTGCCAAATAAAAGTCAATTTTTATGCAGCTCCTTAAGCTTTGAAACTGAACAGGGCGTATCAAAGTGAACTACCGGATGTTGATTTTGAAAAAGATTTGCGCACATTGAAGTTGTTATTTACACATTCATTAAATAATGTGTAGCATTGCACGTCATTTTCAAGTCATAGTTGATACTAGGCGGATTATTTTGTGGGAAATTACCATCAGTGGTATCCAAACGGTAGGAATTTAAAGTAATTAATAAAGCTTTTTTCAGTAATGTCCTTTATTGAAAACAGTGGAAGGAGACAATTTTTACCAAAGTTCATCATAAGTTAACATTCTGATATTAGCAAAAGTTATTTTTGTAATCACGTTGTATCCATTGCTTTGCTACTTACTTTAATCACAGTGCATGTTGCTATAAGAGACGATCGTCTGTTTTAATGTATTATATACTCCTCGTTTGCACTGTTTGGTATATAGGTGTTAAATTTGAATGTAAGAGGTAAAGTCAATTGATTTTGTTAATGTCTAATACGACAAACTTGCTTACCACATGCTTGTTCCTTCATCGATTCGTAAATGTTAATATTGGTGTCTATAACGTTTTTCTCTGTTGTTTTTCTGTATAGGAAAATTAATTACTTCATTTACAAAATGTACATGAAAGAAACCAATTAAATATATACAAATACAATGTATCAAAAGGTAGCTTTAAATCAATTAAACTCCTTCAGAAACAATAAATTGGGATTCTATATGACGAGGTTCATGATCAAGTACTATCAAATATTATGGCAAAATTATACCCAATAGAACTTTCTTTTAGAAGTTTCTTATATTCCACTACTGTTTGCAGGATAGAAATGTTTCTTATACATACCATTCATACATTCGAAAGAAATCTATATATGCTTATGATTTACTAGAAATGGTAAAACCAAAAGATCTCGAATTATTTAAATATCATTTATTATGTTAAACTATAGTCAGATTGAATATGAATATTGAAACAAACGGATATTGAATGACTCTATATTAGATATTAATTTCAAAATATACTATGAATTCATCACAACATCAATGTGACACCGGTGTGTTGCTTGATGGATAATATTTAACTTGACAATTCATAACCTTTATTACAAACTAAAATAGATTTGAACCTATCAGATCACTTTACCGATTGAACAAGGACAAACGTATATATTTTAATAAGAAAAAACACATATTTTACTACATAAGTTTAGATCATTGAATGTGAATGTCGTCCAGCTTAGCCACATATAGTGTTGTTGGTTTTTTAGCAAAGTTCATTTTGTTATATTATATCATTAACAATTATATATATTTATTATAAAAAATTCTGTATATGAACTTACTCAATTGGATCCTCAACTGAAAAAAATCAAATATTTAAATTGACCCTAAGACACATCCCTCATGATGGATGGATATTTGCAATACTCTTTTTATCAATAAAATTGTTTGAGTATTTTTTAGTTTACAATATCATTAAATGTACATAGATTTTTTTTAAAGAGAATCTTCAACAGATTGCACACATTAAACACATTTCTTCAATGACTAAAATGCATGCGACTTTGCCTATTGATTTACTTACAATTATATCATATTTCATATTTTTTTTTATCTCAAGTTAACTTACAAAAAACAATAAACATATTTTTTCTAGATTGCTGATGGTGGTGATTTGCAAACAAAGGAGTGATCTTTAATTGACTAACTTGGCAATAGTATAATAAGTCAACATATCATGTCTAAGAAATAACACAGGCTTTAAAATACAACGGTAATGGGCAAAAGTACAAAATCGCCCAATGAAATTAACAAACAACACATACAAAGCATGCCTGTTTATTTGTGCACACTGTGCACAAAAACGTCAAATGTACATTTCACGTCAGATCCTATGATAATGGTACAGTTGAGTTTTTATTACAAATGAATGATGCATAATTCCAAAAACATGAATTGTCTTAATGAGTCAATTTAAACACAAAATTAAAAAAAAAATCCCTTCTAGCAAAATGTTTTCCAAAACTTTGATGTAATGTCAAGGTCCGATCTTTGAGGATTAGTTTAAAAACCATTTCCCATTATAAGATTGACGATGCGATAAGGGTGTCACTATATTTTCATGTTCATCGAGACTTATTGAACACACATGGTCAAGGACAGTAATTGTATTAAATGGATTGATGTTTTGCACTCGATAACTCAGTCAATCTGCCAGTTTCTGTTTGCCTGTATCTGATACGTTTTGAATTGACCGATCTCTATATAGCTAGTTACTTTATAAAACGATGTTAGTGTTAATACAAAATATACGAATGGTTTATCTCTAACAATACATTGATAAGTCAAATTTATAAACCTGTAACACAATATTATGTAAAGATGAATTTAGAATAAGCAAACTACAAATATTTACCTTTTGATAGTGTCGGCATATCTTCGTATGCATTTACATTAGTACGATGTTCTGAATCTATTCTAAGTAGAAAGAAAAACATGCTAGATTGTTTTTGAATAATGTCGAGCAGCATATGTTTCAGTTGCTAAGTTGATCGACCGGAATTGACAATTGGAAATTTGGACAGCAATGAGAAACAGGACATGAACCACAAAACCTTAGGACTCTGATATAAATGTATACAAGCACTTCAGACACACCAAATTTATATCTTTGTTTTTTGTTTTTTTATAAAAACGTTTTCTTTAGTGTGCAAGGATAATTGCATTATCCCACGACTGGAATTTCTAATAACAGTTCCTATTCCAGACATTTGCGTCAAAGTAAAATGCTTTGTTAAAGTACTGTAAATTCAAAAAATATTGTGTACATTTATTATTGCAATTTTTGAAGCATTAACAAACATACGAAATTAATCATTGCGATTTTAGGGAAAGCTGCAGACACATATATGGTTCAGATATCAGAATGCAAGTTCGTTTTATTGCGATAATGATCAAGTGGCTTCATTTAAAACTAGCAATAATTTCTGAATCTACAGTAATTTGAATACCTCATATGTCATATTTGTCCCTCCTCCCAAAAAATGGTCTCCCATTTAAGATATTATCGTGAGTGTTAATTTCAAAAGAGGTACTATCCAAGTGACAATAACTAATAAGGAATAATTGTTCAACTCCCGATCCCAAATATGGTCCTCATTTTCAGATTTTTCTGATGATCGACCTTATCCAAATTTTTGATGAGGGAAACAGTCATCTAAATATCGAGAGGATCCGATAAAAAATGAAGGCATTGCACATTGTAAAAAATACTCATCTTCAGCCTAATACTAAATTTTAGGGAGATCTGATTTGTAGTTTATGGGGAAGAAATGTAACCAACATTTTATGAGACGGACAAACTGACCGAAATACGGAGCCACTAGTAAATTAATTTTGATCTAAAACAGTCATTATTATCTGAACAGTTTTTAAGAAATTGAACGATAAATTATTCAGTCATTTTCAGTCTTTCACTTAATTTCAGACTATTGCACTGCGGTAAATTCGGTACATGTATTGTTCATGAAATTCGCTTGCAGTCTATCAAGATCAGTTCAATCTATGTTCAGACTGTTCCAATAGTTGTTATTTACCTGTGCAAATCAACACCATACTGAATTGTCTGAACAACTACTGAAGAGAACTAAATTGACTGCAAGTGAATTGTCTGAATAGTACTGAATTTACCACAGTGGATAAGTCTGAAAACTGACTGAAAGACTGCACATGACTAAATATTTCATCGACTTTTCAGATGATTTTTTTCAGATGATTTTAAGATCAAACAGACCTAGACTCGAATTTTTTTTCTTCCGCTACATCTCATTCAAAACTACCGCCCTTCAATGAGATTAAAGCCGAAATACCCCCTTTTTCGAAACCATAGATAATCTTTAACTATCTCAATATTCTAACTATATGGTGAACAATTTGGGCACTTATAAGTAGATTACAATTCACAAACAGTTATTTATTGAAGAAACACCTACAAATTTTGATAAAAATTTGCATAAAGATAGAGAACAGAGAGAAAAGCATTTTTACTATGAGATTTGTATATATAATTCGTCTCAAATATAGCCCAACAATGTTAGATCAGAAATTTTACTTAAGCAATTTTTTTCTTCCCTCAGAGGAATTCGAACCCTTGCTTTTGTGACATCGTGGCAACTCGCCCTGCAGCTCCCTAAATCACCGCACGTGTGTGTGTGTGTGTATGTGTATTTCACTCCCGATTTTATCTTTTATTATTAATCCATCGGTTTCTAAAAGAGAGGCGAAAGATACCAAAGGGACATCTTTCTTGCAAGTTTTCAGATGTTCAAACGAAGGCGACATTTTACGATATATTCATGAAAAACCCTATAGAAGTCAATCCAATGGGTCATTATAATATCTGAACTTGAATTTAAATTTGAAATGACTGGGTTAGTAGTTATCAAAGGTTAGTATTGGCACCAGTTTTTGTAAGCTTTATAGAAGAACAACATAGTGTTTGCTTATCTATTACGATTTGAATTTATATCCGTATTCATACATACCTTCGCTCTTGAGGTGGTATTGAATCTGAAAAAAAAATAAATAGTATAAATATGTCATACAGCTTGTTTCCTATAATTTTTTGACAATGTCGCGGTAATTTGCCCCAAAGTTTAATGGAAGTCGATGGTTTTATCAAGCCAGGTTAAACAAAGACACGTAAGATAATTATTTACTGTTTATGCCACCCATGAAAATTGGTGTAAAAAAATACTATTCAGAATAGTGTACAGACGGATTTCCAAATGAAATCAAACAAAAGAAACGGAACAAAAATCTCATGTAAAGAATGCTTGCACGAGGGTGCTGATATATAGACACCCTTTTAGGACCCTTCCATAAAAAGGAAATCTTTGATTTATTGATCCCAATATCAACATGCATTTTAAGAACAAACAGGTTAACCTCAAGTTATCCAAAAGCCAAAAGTTGCACATCATATTCTTTTATTTCTGCCTATTTTAATAAGTTATTACCGTGACATTTACCCGTAAAAATTATAGGGTTATTGTCCCTCCGTATAGGTATATACTACATCTATATAAGTGTCATTTGGAAATAAAGAAATCAAACAGAATTATTCGCCTAGAAACTATCCTAAAAATTCTAGAACTTAAGAAACAGCAAACTTTATCTTGACATGTTTTACCCCAAATATTGACAGAATTCTTCCCCTTCTATATTTCTGTCTTAATGCTCCCCAAATTTGTTTCGGGATCTAATTTCAGAAATATTACCCAATAAAAACATTCCATATATACCACTACGAAAAGCACTTGCAGCAAAAACATTTCACGCAGTCGAAGATGTTCGATCGAGTACAGGTAATACCAATTTCTTGACAATAAAATCGATATTATTCATATAAATACCAGCATGTGTTCATAATACTTCTGACATCTCCTTAAATTGTGATTTGTATACTGACAGAGTAAAGCAGACAACAAAATAAAACCCGTTTTTAAACGGTTACATTATACCGTGTTGTTTTCAGGAATATAACATTAATAATGTATAGATATTTTAGAAAGTACATACCGTAATAAGACGTGTTGTCTACATTTGTGAAGGCGGGATTACTTATCTGTTCATTAATATGTTCATCAGATCTGAAATAGTCATCCTTCATTAACTCTCTTTTACGCTCATTAAGGAATAATTTTGTAGAAAGAATCAAAACATCTGATATCTTATGTTGTTTTTCAAATTTTCTTGATAATTCAAAATAATGTATTGTAAGGTAGATTTTGTTTGACTTGCCTAATTACATCATAGGTTATCACAAAATGTGACAATGCTTTGAATACATTTCATAAACTGGAATTTTCACTTTATTTTAAATATACATTTTGCTATGTTTCTTTTGTTTATGAATTCCTGAGAGCGTTCATGATGAAGATTAATCATGAACAGCGCTTCGGACGCATGAAATTTATAACGTGTTGTTTTCATTCTTTATCTGTTAATTTTCTACACATTATTTTTTATATCAAAGATGTAATAAATGGTTTTCAATTATACACCTGGTATATAATTTTTTTTCTTCACAAAAAAAAATTAATAATTGATACATGCTTTGAGACTACTATTATGTCATTTAGTACATACGTAGTTGATTCACATGCCTTGTTCTTGAAACCTTGAATAAATATGAAAATAAACATTAAATGAAATATCTAAGAGCAAAAAGTTTATTTTGATTTCCGACACCATATTCGGAACAAGACAATGTATCTTTCTTCGACTGTCGCACATAGACCGATAGACATAATATGAGCATTTATTAAGATACACTAAAGTATTACAAGTAAATAAATTACAATTTTGTTTCGTGTATATAAATAAGAAGATGTGGTATGAGTGCCAATGAGACAACTATCCATCCAAGTCACAATGTGTAAAAAGTAAACAATTATAGGTCAAAGTACGGCCTTCAACACGGAGCCTTGGATCACATCGAACAACAAGCTATAAAGGGCCCCACAATGACTTGTGTAAAACAATTCAAACAGGAATACCAACGGTCTAATCTATATAAAAAACGAGAAAAGAGAGACACTTATGAACCACACCAACAAACGGCAACTACTTAACAACAGGCTCCTGACTTAGGACAGGTGCATAAAAAGCAGCGGTTTAAGCGTTTTAACAGGCGCCAACCTTCACTCTAACCTGAAACAGTGGTATAACATTACAACATAAAAAGACGCACAATAAAATATCAATTGAATTGGCTTAACTCGATCAAAAAGACAATGTACAAAAATAAGTAAATATACACTGAACAAATAAGTTTGATCTATGATGACACAATATAAATAAAAAAGATGTTTCAATGTAAAAAAAAACCAACTTAATAATTTTGTTGTTAGGAGTACAGAAACATTGTTTACAAAATAAATAGAAATAACAATTATCTAGTAAACAATCTCATGTATAAAAAGAAGAAGACTAGCGAATAATTAAACTTAAAAAAACAACTTAAAAATTTTGTTGTTAGGAGTACAGAAACATTGTTTACAAAATAAATAGAAATAACAATTATCTAGTAAACAATCTCATTTATAAAAAGAAGAAGACTAGCGAATAATTAAACTGTACGTTATACTCATATATTATTTTAAATCGATATATTTGGGGAGGGGCGTTATATATATATCACAAGTAAATAAGAAACAGCAGTGCAACCCTTTCCCTTTTAAGTTTTCGTTAACGAATTTTTTAAATTTTTTTGAAATATTGTTAGAAACCATGAAACCATAAAACTCATTTATGCCTAGTTCGGTCCCTAAATCGAGTTTCAGATCACTGATTTGGTTATCTCCCAAGTATTTCCAAAACAAATGATAGGTATGCTATTCAGATTTTCGAGCAAATGTGTTTTTTTGGGCCCTTTATAGCTTGTTGTTCGGTGTGAGCCAATGCTCCGTGTTGAAGGCCGTACCTTGACCTATAATGGTTTACTTTTATAAATTGTAACTTGGATGGAGAGTTGTCTCATTGGCACTCATACCACATCTTCCAATATCTATTGAAATCGGAATAATAAAAAATGCGATCAAATTTCCATGGTTAATGGTGAAAAAAAATATTTGTATTTCATACATGTAACTTTAATCTTAATTACAATTGTAATGTTTCAAGTACAAAATGAATTTCTTTGAACGAAATAAAATTTGGAAGTAATGTTAAAAACCATAAAAATTTACAGTATGACATCGTATTCCTGAACATTTAAATTTTACGGACGCCATCACGAGTTGGTTGACCGTTACGGAATATCCGTTTCACAGATGATAGCGGATATGTTCCTAGTGTCGTAACTACAATCCCGTCCACTTTTCCCGAATGTGACCTACCAAATTAGACTTATTACCGGATTTGTACTAACATGAACAACACGACGGGTGCCAAATGTGGAGCAGGATCTTCCGGAGCATCAGAGATCACCCCCAGTTTTTGGTGGGGTTAGTGTTGTTCAGTCTTAAGTTTTCTATGTTGTGTTTTGTGACTATTGTTTGTCTGTTGGTCTTTTTTGTTTTAGCCATTGCGTTGTCAGTTTATTTTCGACTTATGAGTTTGAATGTCCCTTTGGTATCTTTCGCCTCTCTTTTAAGTAAATTATAAATGATTAGATATACTTGTGCCAGATGTTGGATTCAAATTACAATGTGGACTAATTTTGGCACAGTTTGAGTATTTATTCCAAAACTTTAATACAAAGACTATTCTGATTTATATTTTGATTCTATGGACATATATTAAAATGCTACATAATCTTCTACGTTTTATTTACATTCTCTTATCGAACAGTTTTAACAATTTTCTGATTTCGACACTTTCATTGAAACAAATGCAGTTGGAATTGCTTGGATCTCTTTATTATTTTTGGTCAACGGGGTCAATAAAAAAACCAAGATATGTTTTTAGGATAATGCTACTGAACAATATAAAGTTGTAATGGAGCTGCAGAGTCAGCACTTTTAGTGGAAAAGTGGAAAGGTTATATGACATTTTGGAGCAACTTCCTGAAACTCCTGCAGTTGAACGTTTAACAAGTATCATTAGCAATATAGCAAGTGGATTTATCACGAATATTCGTGAAATGCGTGCCTTGTAGGAAGTTCCGTCAGCGGAGAAGACTCATATATCTTTTTTTTCAATATACCACCGTAATGATATTTACTCACTGTTGCGGACGACAAAAACTGTCACGGCAGTAACGATCAACAATCCAACACCTAGCATTGCTATTCCTGCAACAAACATTCTGGTATGTTCATTTTGGAGTTCGCTTATCTCTTGTCTTGAGCATGCTACAATAATGTCACGTTATGAATATTCTTGATATAAAATATATAAACATTATATCCCTTAATGTCATTTAATGTCATTCATTAATGAAACGATTTTCCTTCATTTTTTATCTGTCTGTTATGGCATATATAGCATATAATGTACTTATTGGTTATCATTTCACTTACAACAACAACACATTGAAACATATTTAGCTTTAAAATGTTCAAACTGTCTGCAGTTGTAAAAGCAAAATATGATCTTAATTTATGTTTTAAGCATGCAAGACATTTTGTCCATCATATCTGACATTAACATAGCAATACTTACAAAAAACTTTTTAATCGCTGGTTAAGGTCCAAAAATGTTTTTATTGTGTTTTTTTTTCATCTTTGTACCTTTAGATATTCTCAACTTTCAACTTGCAATAACATGTTATAAAGATAATGATTTGTCTGCAAATAATCTTTTCGTACGAACCCATAAAATTGACGGTAAGGATCATTGGAATGTAATTTTACCAGTATTGGAGATTCAATAAAACGGAGGTAAAGTTCGTCATATTTTTTATTAATCAAGATATATTCAATATAGTCAGTATTCAGTTTTGTTTGTACAATATTGTAAATACAATTACAATATTTATACATGTAGCTTCATTTGGGATGTATCAAGACAAGTGACTGTATTAATACATAATCAAAGGATATGCTTAAACCCATGCGTAATTAGTAATTGTTAATTATCTAATGCTTGAATTTTGTTTTCACTATGATATTAAAGACTGTCATCACATATCTATCTGATATGTATAAGAATACTTTCAAACTTGTAATCTCATTTCCAAACACAAATAGATTAATTTGAAAAGATAAACGCACGACGGTCATTTGGTTTGCCGAAATACTAGTCTTTCTATGCGATATAATTTCAGCTTTTCATAACTATCTCGTATCGGTTTCTTTGCACAAATCTTTTGACGTCTCTGTATAATTTCTTGTTTTCTAGCACTGTCGTTTCTAACTTGATAGTTTTATAAGAACTATTTTATATTTTAGTAAAATATCTAAAAAGTGTTATAACATGCCAAACATTGATATAAACCTGCAGCTTACGATTGTTCATCGCGGTCTTCATCAACTGAAGGGAGAAGGTTCACGAGGGTTTAATTTGTCCCTTCGATTTTAATGGTTTTTTTCAGTCTGGTCAAAATACTACAAATTTTATGTAGAATTGTTTGTGAAGGTACTAGTAGGACCAAATACTTTTTTTGGGTATATGACAATTTAAAACATAGAGTATGCATTATTTACGTTTAAACGTCAGTTTAGCTCTAAATAGTTACAATTCATAACATTTTTTTCCTAATAGTTATTATAGGCTCCAAGCCTGGTCAGGAATCAAAAATTGTGTCTATGGGTTTACTATAAACATTGACACAATTTATTTATTGGAGATGGGGCCAATGTCTTTCTGAAGCTTTAAAGTAGAAAAAGGCACAAAATACTCGTGTTTTGAAAATATATATTCAAAATGTAGACTTTGGATTATAGAATGTACTCTTATGAAGATATTTGTTTTACTGATTAGCATTTAAGTTTTTTAAATAGATCAATGTAAATACAAAAAGATGGCCTTTGTTTAATTGTATGATAACGTTGAAATGCAAAGGAAAAATGTGAACCCGGTCCTTTACTAATTATTTATCGTATCAGTATATACCATCACAATGAATTACGTTGCAATTTACAATAATGATTAGAGAAAGAGAATGAAACTTAGTTTCAAATTGATGCTTTGAAAATATCAGCATCAACTGTCGATAGAACCAACATTTATACTAGCGTCTTTGTTTTTAATATACTCATAGTAACAAGTTCAACTCACACACATCAGTTAAACATTCCACTGTTCGAGACATAGACTCGGTCAATAAATTTACAGCAAGGATAGAGAAGGTATATTTTCTATAGGGATTTAAGCCATTCACTGTATATGCCATCAGTTGGTTCGTGTAATCCTGGTGTAATTTTTCTGATTTCATGTTTTTTCCATTTTCAGCATATTGTATATAATATTCCAAGGAGCTATCTTCGTTTACAATATGTTTCCACATCACAATTGCCGTCGTGCTCTTGCATACAACATATTCTAATGATGGTGGTATGGCATTAACTGTCATAAAGATAAAAAAGAACAGTTAATTAAGGAAGACTTCATCTCTATAAAATATGATATGATATTTGTTCGAACAACACGTGATTCTAAAAATATCAGTATAAATTAAATGTTAAATACATTTTCTTTCTATTGACTATTTTTGCGACCTCTGCTGATGTACGCAATCTCAATTTTATAAATAAAGATTATAGCTATAACGGTTGAATTCAATTTTTGACCTATCTAGTGTCAAATTGAAGGATAAAGCTAGGTATATACATTTGTAATCTTATTTGAAAAAAGATGAATTCATGTGTACTATAAATTTAGATGCCATCATTAAAATCTGACTATGTAAACGCCATTTAATCTTAGTTCAGTTATAATTGTTTTTTATACCAAAAAATATTACCAGAAATTAGAAAAGCCGCTAAGTCAACAATGTGTTCAAAGGTTTTAACTTAATTGGTCACTGTGATTAATAAACAACAAAGATCTTTTGCCAGTCACTCTTATCTGTTTATAAAAAAAAAGGTATTAATGTTCCACGGACTTCCTCAGGTTCTAAGAAAAATGCCACAAAACAAAGTTTACACCATTATCACTGTTTTTATATTAAAATTATATCTTAAAAAATCTTGAAAATACCCTATACTTTTAGAAAGATGTTATTTTCATTCGAATGAAAAAAGAATTTCAACATGGATAGTCAACTAGAGGCTATAAAGAGCCTGTGTCGCTCACATCGGTCTATGTGTTGCATATTCAACAAAGGACACTCGCCAACACTGTAGACGTGAATAGAATTCATGACAAAAATCTCTGTTTTGTTGATCTTGTATTGCTGATCATTTAGTCTGTTTAGTTTCTCTCTATCTTCTTTAGTTTTTACTCAAAACACAAAAGAGGGTAAAAAAATCCTCATTTAAGGGCAATTACTCCTATAAAGAGTGACAGTCTGCTACCTATATCAGCAAAATTTGACTTGTTAGTAGATCTTGCCTTGATGATCATTTTTGTGATGTAAATGTCTATTTATCTTTTATAATTTTTTTTATGTAAGACAAAAACCCCCAAAAAATGGTGAAAACAGCATTAAAGGGCAATAATTCCAAGTAGACGTCGAATGATTTCCTCTATATTATCTTAGTTGTAGATCTTGTCTTGCTGGTTTTTAAATTTCTATTTTTAAGATATAAGGCAAAAACGCAAAAAATTGGTGAAAATCATCATCAAAGGGCAATAACTCTAACAAGTTGTCGGCTGACGATTTCGACCATCCGACTTATTTGTAGAACTTGTCTTGCTGATCATTTTTGCAATTGAATGTTTCTCTGTATCTATTATAGTTTTCAAGATAACAGGCAAAAATGAAAACATGGTAAAATTTGTCATTTAGGGCAATAACTCCTATAAGAAGTCGTCTGACAATTTTGACGTATATAGACAATCGGTAGAGCTCAACATTCTGAACATTTTAGCGCCTGTCAGTTTTTCTCTTTTCATAACGGTTTTCAAAATAATAGACAAAATTTGTATTTTATCCCTATAATCTATTTTCAGCCATGGCGGCCATGTTGGTTGGGAAGCGGGGTCATCGGACACATTTGTTATACTAGATACCCCAATAATAATTGTGGCTACGCTTGGTTAAATTTGGCCCAGTTGTTTCAAAGGAGAAGATTTTTGTAAAAGTTAACGGACGACGACGACAACGGACGACGGATGACGACGACGACGGACGACGGACGCCAAGTGATAAGAAAATCTCACTTGGCTCATTTGGCAAGGTGAGCTAAAAATTGAAAATATGAAAATATTTTATACATTGAATTTATTCTACTTTTCAAGATTTGTAATCCCAAAAGTCAATATAAAATGAACATATCTAAAGGTAAGACAGTCAAACTAAAAAAAAAAATTGACATGGGTTCACTTACCTGGGTTAACCTTATGGGCCGCGGGGGGGGGGGGGGGGGGGGGGGGGGGGGGGGTGTTCATGGGCCCCAAGTAATAATATAATATAATGAAGGTTAATAGCACACATACAGTAATAAAGTACTGTTTAAAGAACAAAATAATTGCTTTTGTGTATACCAAGGTCTATAACATGACAAAAAGAAAATAATACTGTTTGAATCCACAAAAGCCGGTATAAAGTTGAAAATGCCTTAAAATGTTTCTTTGGAACACCCTTAAAACAATAGGTCAGGGGTTTCTCCGACCCCGGCTAACCCACTAGGTCTTGGGGGCATTCACCTAATATAAGTATGCTGAAAGTATATGCTATTAATTCCATTTGGCCCAGTAGATTAAGAGGAGAAGATTTTTTGTGAAAGATTACAAGAATTTAAAAAAAAATGTAAAAAAAATGACTTTTAAGGGCAATAACCTCTTAAGAGGTCAATTGACAATTTTGGTGATGTGACTTGTTTGTAGATCTTACTTTACTGAACACATAGAACATTCTTGCTGTTTACAGTTTATCCCTATATATTATAATATTCAAGATAATAACCAAAAACTGCAAAATTTTCTTAAAATTCCCAATTCAGGGGCAGCAACCGAACAACGGATTGTCTGATTTGTCTGAAAATTTCAGGGCAGATAGATCTTGACCTGATGAACAATTTTAACCCGTCAAATTTGCTCTAAATGCTTTGGTTTCAGAGATATAAGCCAAAACCTACATCTTACTCCTATGTTCTATTTTTAGCCATGGCGGCCATCTTGGTTAGCTGGCGAGGTCTTCGGATACATTTTGTAAACTAGATATCCTAAGGATGATTTAAGCCAAGTTTGGTTCAACTTGGCTCAGTAGTTTCAGAGGAGAAGATTTTTGTAAAAGTTAACGGACGACGATGGACGACGACGGACGACGGACGCCAGGTGATGAGAAAAGCTCACTTGACTCTTTGGATCAGGTGAGCTAAAAAGGGACTAAAACACACATGCACACGAAAGGAAAAATGAAAATGAAAAAAAATATTTAGAATAGGACAACAAACAAACAATAAGCTAAAAAAAGTTTGACTTGTTTATATAAAATCATCTTTGAAAAATACTCAAGTTAACAACAAGTGACAGCAGAAACCGGATATTGCTTTGTTAAAAAGACAAGGATTTAACATTACGAGATGAGATATAAAAACGTTATTGTCTTACAATTAGAATTACATTGAGTTACTAACCACAACTTACCTTCTTCGGTGACGAAAAATCTGCGAACAAAAAATCCAGCTGAATTTTTAGCTGTGAAAGTATAATCCCCAAAGTTGCTTATTTGCACACTATCGAAGGCTATGAATGATGAAGTACGGAATCCATTGGTAGTAGTGTTTGATAATAATGTGCTTAAATTGCATGAACCAAAATCCGCCTCAGCCTGGAATCTCCATATTATTTTTGGGGTAGGGTTAGCGGTTATTGTGACTGTTATTAGAAGGATACTGCCTTCTTTTGGACTAATATGTAAGGGTGAATATGGTATGCTATAGTCAGCAAACGGTTTAACTAAAAAGAAAAACAAAAAGAAATTATTGTTTTTACTCAAACACAAAAGAAACAAGTGACATTAAGTTAAGACAAAAATATGACCTGTTTCTGTATTTGAAAAACACAATTACAGGATGTCCCTTTCCATTCAAAATTTTTTTATTGAACAAAAATGTTAACTAGAGGCCTATTCTAACTCTTATCTGATTTACAGCCCCAAACTACGAAATAGAAATTTAAAACAGAACGTAAAGGCAGTGTAGAGATGTTGAGTTTTTGCTATATTTTTGGGAGCAAAATATACACAAATTGAAGAGGAAACAATCGGAATCTCAAGAACTCCTAACGGAGTGAGACAAAGTGCATCAATATGCTTATATCTCTTGGTTTGTATGCAAAAAAGTCACACATTTTCAAAGTATCAACCAGCAGTAAGAGTCAAAGCTAGGAATAAAACAAGAGTGGTTATAATGTCAGATTGGCATAAGTAGAAATGTGGTATATTTGACAGAGTCAAAATGCCACTAACTCCTTGATGTTTTTGTAGGAACACTTACATTGTACGTTTACGTAGAACGTCTTCTGAGTTGTTCTGGTCATTTCAGCCATCCCCGAAGGAGATATAGTGTTCATTACGTAACAAGTGTAGTTGTCACTTGATGTTCTATTGATTTTGTTGATTTTAAGTACAGAACTGTTATATCTGAAGTTTGCATCATTCTGTCTGGTCCACAATATCAATTCACCTACTGGATTAGAATCTACCATTGGAGACACGATTAAGTTGTCTCCTTCTATAATGTCATAGTGGTTGACGATGTTTGTTAGCTGTGGACCATCTGAAAATATTTCAAAGTTTGCCAGTCGTATTTTTCAATAGGATTCACAATTCATAAAGTGAACAAATAATGTGAACAATACAATTTTCACGAATGCAAAACAAAGCATACATCAATCCAAATAAATGTTCAGCTCACGTTTTAGATTAAAAAACCCTTAGCAAAGCAATTAATGTAGTAAGCACATGGTTTTAAATTATTCTTATCAGAAAGCGTAGAAATCAAGTGCAAAATGTATGCACAAATCTCTAAAGGACATAAAAATGAACATCTTACCTAAACAGAATGACACAAACGATATAATAAATGAATTCTGCAGAATAATTGAATATCGTTGTGATATTAACATCCGTCCTGTTGCCAGTGTTTTGAAAATGTAATAGTTTAAATTCAACATATCTGTCTGTACATTCCTGCTAATTAACTTTGAGTGATAAAACAAAGCTTGCAACTCAAGGAACGGTGACATCGGACTGTTTTTATCGGTTTTTTTTTTAACGTTTGTATCTTATATGCTTTCAAATATATTTGTTTGGACCTTCAAACATGAATTCTTCAGCTAACCATAAAAGGGTTATTAAATGTGACCTTGCGAGGACACCAATATCATATTTTTTTTTTACTTATTTGTCAACACACAGCAATTCCTAAAGGTGACATCCAGTTACTAGTTTAAAACTATTGTAAACGCGCACTAAAACTAAATGTTCAACTCCTTAATGCAAGGTTAACCTAAAACTAGTTGGTTTGCTCTCTTTGTGTCCTTTCCGTTCTTATGCTCTCAAATGTTTTATATTTGACTATCCAAACGTTGGATCTCGAACTAATCTGATGAGGAATATTAATAACATATAGCGTCCAGGGTAATCGGTAGAGGAATTTTGGCACATAAACATTTAACATATTGACCTTTTAAGATACTGTCAAAAGGTCAATTATATATAGTATATTCACATTTTGTAAGTACTATTTAATATTGTAAAATAAATAGCTAGTTGTCGAAAAACTGATAATAATTTCTACTAAAAAACTTATGCATCATTTCAAGATCGTTCCTTTTTTCATGTAGCTATTACATTTTGTTTGTCATGTGCCCGTTCATAGGTAAATTCATAAAATGAAATAATATAGATGAAATAATATAGATGAAATAAAACTAGTTTGCAACTTCTTTAAGCTAGGCTGACCTCAAACGCGTTTGATTTTTCCGTTTGTGCTCTATTGGTCTTTTGCCTTCAATAATTTAATATTGTTGGTTCTCGAAACTTTTGATCTAGATCGTACTTGATGAAGGTGATTCCAGAACATGTACCGTACCACACATATATTGGTATTATATAATTTCTCACATGTATTATGTGTGCAGTGTAGCTTTATTACATTATCGTTTCGATGTTAGTAGAAAGCACACATAGATACTTACAATGCACGTCAATCTGCTTAGTTGAAACATTCGACGTTCCTGCTAAATTTGTAGCACTACATGAGTACTGTCCACTGTGAATCTCGTTCACAGTTGATATAGTAATATTTTGACTATTCGCGGTACCACTTGGACTGTTCCATTGGTAAGCAATGATATCTGCAGGGTTGGCATCATCAGTTACACATGCTAACACTACGTTTTGCTGATTTTGGTATAGTATATATGGATTATATTTGGGTTCCATGTGAACATCTGGGAAATCTATAATGTAAGCACGTTTACTTGAAATAAAATCTATTTTATATCAATTCCCTTTTCGAAAAATACCCGGGACTTTACTTTACAAATTTTCCTTTTACCTGTAATATTTTTACAGCTCTGTCGGGCTGCATTAATTCCTTATCCATTTTCATTTTAAGTTCGTGTACCGACTCAACTATGGTATTAGTATTTACGTATTATTTTCAACAATGTATATAATGTTTATTAATGCGAATAATGCGACTCCTTCAGTAACACAATAATAAGAACTCACAATTTGATATCTTGTACATATATCTGTATGTAGCTTTTCCTAAAATCACAATAATTAAACTCGCATTTTTGTTCATCCTTCAAAGATCACAATAATAAATGCATGCAATAATATCTGAATTTACAGTATATAATAAAACAATTTACAAAAATGTAAATAATTTGGTTGTTAATAATCGTTTGACTTAATATTCTTACGGATTAATTCAGAAGACACTGCATATATATTTGACGAAAAAAAAATGTTTGTAGATGAAACAGGCCAAACATTCTCTGGTAACCATTGTAAAAATGCTTTTTTAAAATATGAAACTCACACTGAACATCTACATGGATAGTCATTCTAGATGTTCTATTGATGGCATTGATTCCCGATGGAGTTAGAATATTCATAACATGGTAGGTGTAGTTTGCAGTCGCTTCCTTCTGTATATTATTGATTTTTAGATTTGAAACATGAAATGTAAAATTAGCATCATTATGTCGGGTCCACCAAACAGATAAAGGAGCTGGATTTGCGTCTACAGTAGGATATAACTGGAGATTTGCCCCTTCTACAATGATAATATCAGAGATGTTTTCTATCATTGCTGCATCTGGAAAAAAAAATAAACCCATTAAATTAAAGCATTCTGTTTAGTGAAAGATGCTACTATTTCATTATTCCAGACAACATAATTATCTATAAACGATGTAAACGTAAGAGCAGGATCAGAGTCGATAGCATTTAAATCAGAATTCAAGGCAACACACGACAGTACAACTGAAAACAAAGAAATTCTTCAGTACGACATTATTCAAACATTCACGAAGAATCCACGTGTCTTCTTTTAGCAGAACCCCAATATACAATTCAAACAAACAAAAAGCAGTAGATATGATTACACTATTAATACGTAGAACATAAAAACTAAGTATCGTTATCTATCAAATTCTAATTTTCAAAAGTATTGTCAAAGCGTTAAAATATGTTGAAGGTAATTTGATGAAAACTTTCATTGAATTTAGTTGTAGGTAATCTTATAAGGGAACAATGTCATGTATGTCATAACATGCAAAACCCTGAGAGGCAATTACACCACCACTGTCATTTTTACAACAATGTGTTTACATTATAAGTATCGAATGTTGTACAAGTATAATTACATTATTTTCAAACAATTAAATAATTCTTAATTCGTTTAAATGTCAGGTGCCAGATATTTGTTTTATTTTTACCTCATTGTGCAATTTAATAGTTTTAGAAGTTTCCTTTGAACTGTTTTGTAAGCCATCCAGTTTGTCACATTTTTCAAAAAATCTGAAAAATTCGGATGACATGTCCTGTATTAAAAAAAATTCGAGTTTTGAAATGCTAATCATCTGTATTTATATTCCTTACACATTTTGATTCACATTTCCTTACACTTACACCATCGTTAATTCTGCATCTTAAGTTCATGGCATTATCCATTTTTGTAATAATTGACTTTATTATTGTCGGCGTATATACTCACATTGTACCTTTAACAGTTTAGAGCTTACACTAGAATTGCCTATTTTATTCTCAGCTTTACATCTATATTCTCCGCTATGTTTACTCGAAACATTTGCTACGATAATGGTTTGATCAGATGCAATACCAATACGATTAGTCCAATGAAATGTTATACCATCTGCAGGATTTGCATCATCTACTACGCATGTCAATGTTACGTTTTGTTGTCTTGCATACAATATATAGGGATTATAATCAGGATCAATGTGTACTGTAGGAACATCTGTAATACAAATCATGAAATATATACAGTTCGAGAGATAGGTCTTATGATCAAAACGAATCCTCAAAGGATAACAAGACAGACTTGATATTTATTAAAATTTCCTTCTTATGTATTGGCACATGGTAATTGTAGGGTTTCGAAGTGTACTTTGAATGTCTAACTTATTTCCTAAGCAGTGATTATGGTGTCTTACATGTACGATACTGTAGTGAATCTTGTACGATGGTGTAGAATATAAAATTGAGAATGGAAATGGGGAATGTATGAAAGAGACAACAACCCGACCAAAGAGCAGAACACAGCCGAAGGCCACCAATGGGTCTTCAACACAGCGAGAAAATCCCGTAACCGGAGGCGGGCTTAAACATATTTGTGATGGAGTTCTTAAATAATAGAACATCTGGTGGTCATTAGCCTTAAATAATGTTAAATACAGTCAGTATCAACGACCTTACAGACTATATCTACTATAAATAAGTTTCATTGAACTCATGTTGTTTCTCCTAGCTTCTTGTCTAACACAGTCTTATACTTTTAAGTAACCTAATGTTGTATTTCAAGCTAATAGGCTAGCGCTGAGGTCGGTACATATGCATATTGTGTCGCTGAAATTCTTCGTAGCCTGTCATTGTCGGTATATTTAAGTCTACAATAATGATGTAGGCAAACAAACTGTGTATGAACAGAAAACAAATATACGTAAGCACCAAATTCATAAAATTTTATTTTCATTTTCGTTATATAAAATTTTGGTTGCAATTGTCGTATACTTTCTTTGTATATATTTGTATAAAAAAAGGTTTAGAATAACAGAAAACATTGTCACATAGGTGCTTTGAAGAGTATTAATTAGATGGAAAAAAATTAGCCTCTATTCTACAAAGAAGTTCAAAGAAAGCATCATGTCTTTGTTTATTATCTTGTGAGCAAATGAAGCGCACAAAATTGATTTGGATACGGCACGGATAGTAAGTCACCCAGAGTAATAACAAAATAAACTTTTTTAAGGAATTCTTGTTGAGTAGGAACGTTCTAAGAAATGCAAATGTTTATAATCTTCGGGTGTTAAATCATAGCTTCTTTTTTTAATACAATTCTACTAATACACATGTTATAGCACTAACAATTAACAAAAACAAAACATGGTATATAGAGGGAAATGATCAGCTAACTGCCTTGCAAGCATACAGATTTATATTGTTTATAAAAATTACAATTTTATGTACACAAGAAAAACACAGTTGAACCTTATTTTACAAGTTAAAGTTTAATGGGAGTTTTAAAATAAACGTACGATTTCAATATCATCAGTGTTCTACTATCTTTTATGCCGTATGTCTATATCCGTATCTTTAGAGTTCCTCTATGTTTCAAGAATCTTTCCTAAAGATCTACTTACATTCAATGTTGAGAGTAGCAGATGAAGAGTTCATCGCTGTGAACGAATCGTTCGCACTACAAAACAGAATTTTATTATAGTCTTCTTTCTTTGTCAGGTAAATAATTGTAGAAACTACTGTGTTTTCCGTTGGGTTAAAGGTTGTTACAGTACCATTCAACTTCGATCCACTTATGTACCATTCTATCGATGATCTAGGAATGCTTTTCGATGTACATTTAAAGTTAACGGATGTCCCATCTTCAATATTACGTATTCCATTGGGATCCATTTCTGGAGAAGTTAGCATCTCTACAAAAATAATCTATTTTGAACAAACATTGTATTTTAAATTGAAAGATTATTTTCAGATCACGAATATATTTGTATGACCGAAATTACGATGGAGATTGAACTTTCATGATAAAAAAATAATCTTTTATATAGTTCCGGGTTTCTGTAAAAAATATGTAATATACTCAAATAAACGCATTGGATTTTCTCTCTCGCTCATTCTCATGTTTTAATCAACGCCTAATTAATGTTTAATGACGATTCATTTAAAACTGTATCTCCACTTACTTCTGTTAGATTAAAATTAATGTACATAACAGACTACAATTGAATGTTAAGATTGACATTTTTTCAATGATTATATTTGATTTGGAACAATATCTGAAAATTTTGAGATTTTATGAAATTATCTTTTCTCCGTGGTAACAGTAATTTAAAGTATTAAAGACATAACATTGATGTTTATAAGCACTTGTCGTCGTCGATATTCTACATATAATGATAGTTAAGGGTGTAATTTGAATTTCTACGTTAAACATTTATACATGAACCTTAATTGAACTGGACCGTTATGGTGTCACAGAATACCTGACTAGGTATTCCCTTGGTCATAGGGATACTGATAGCCTTTATAGAATTTTCACCACTTTCTAACACTTAACAAAAGCCAACATACACAGTTTACTAAAGTACTTTCATTCTAATATACAAAACAATATCTAAATATATATGATAACCATTTACATTTTCTGCTATTTTTATAAAACTAAGGCCAAATAATGCTTTTAGGTCTTTTATCATACAGTGCATGAATATAAAATACTCAAACATTCTCAAAAATTAGTTTTCACCTGTATGTAAAATAATTTCATATTTTCTACACCTGATTCATTCCTCAGCTTGGAAAAATATGTTTAGTAAATGCAGTATTTTGTATCCAATACAGTATTCAAATACATTGACCTTAGTAGGGTACACAAAAGAACAACCTAGTTCCCGGAATGTAAATACTACCGTGCTACCTCAACAAAGACACAACAAACTTGTCATGAAACCTATGACGCATAGACTTCTTACTAGGAAGCATGTTACAATATACTAGTCTGTACTTATTTCTGACAAAAAAAAATTATACACTACCCCTGCTATCAAATATTTACTTACTTTTCATCTTACCATTTTAACTTGAAGAGTGAACAAACACCAAATACATAATGTTTCAAATCAGCACAGAAGTTAAATGTGGTGATTCAGCATGAAATATTGGCTTGCTAGCTCTATTTCTAGTTAATCTGACTTAAAGAAAAAGTATATAGAATTAAGTCCATTCCACATTTTACAGCATGCCTTACATTACTTTAAACATTTCCAGGTTATGTAGGCAACATAACAAGATTCTTTAGAAGGCAGTAGACTATCATTTTAAAATCTTTTGACAATACATATACTAGAATATATCTCTAAGTTGACGGTTTTCCTCTTTCTCATGTATGCATTAAGTTAAATCATGTCCCCTACATAATCAATTTACCATTTATGTGCTTTAGATGGTCAGAAAATTGAAAAAAAATCATGACATTTGCAAAGAAAGTAAATGTACTCTCTAATTAATCTGACATAAAATGGTTATCACATTCTTTGTACAAAAACATGTGTCTTATCTATGTAAAGAGGTCCTTAATTCTATCTCTTTTTCAGCTTAGTATGGGACTAATTGAATAAGTAAGGACCCCTTAACCAACTAAAGGTAAAAAGAAGCTCATAAAAGTGTCATGTTACCACAGAACTACAAGCTAACCCTGCAGAAATCTAGTTTAGCTGTAGTGTGTGAAAGAAAACAATAAAATTATAATTACACAGTTAACTGAATCCAAAGTACTTTTATTTTAATGTTCAGAAATTAATTTGAATGTGTATGATGACCGTTTACTTTTTCGGCTATCTTTTATAAACCTTAGGCCACTAGTAAGTTACAAAAAATTCTCAAAAAATTCATTTTCACCTGTATGTAAAATTATTGCATAGTTTTCTACACCTGATTCTCCCCTTAGCTTGGGAAAATATGTTCAGCAGATGCTGTTTTATTTGTCCAATCACATTGTTCAGATACATTGACCTAAGGAGGGGAAAAAGAACCACCTAGTTCCCGGAAAGTAAATACTACCATGCCACATTAAAAACGATAAAAACTACATGGGTAATAAGAACATGTGTTTGTACGCATTAAAAATATATGTGAACCCTAAAATAGTGTACTTGTGAGTCATCCTCGACAAGTCTTATTTGATGTTCTCTCGATTGCGCTGAGTGTAGAGGGTAATTTAGGGCCGGTGTACAAGATATCTGTTTGTTTAGAGAAGTATTTAGAGTGGAAGTTTCTTTTGTTTTTGGTTTAATTCAGGTGTAACGCATTTTATTAACTCAAATATTGTATTACGCTTATTTTTTGAACATTGAATCAACCAATTATGTCTGCCTAGAAATAACTGTCACCTCTTCTACCATTATGAAGAATGAAGATAAGTAATTAGCAACTGTGTATAACGCTTGGTTTGGCCACGGTCTAAAAGTTTATCGCCTATTAAGTTGAATATGAAGAATATGAATGCAGGTTTAGATAAGTAACATTTTACATATATGAAATAAATATGCCTATCATATCAATGAAATAAACCCGGCCCCTTATAAATTTGGTTCGGCCAAAGTGTTTTTTTATTTTTTATTTTTACCTTTACCTGGAACACTCCAACCCAAACAACTTAAGCTTAGGGTGTATAAAACTTACCTCTAATTTTGACAGTTGTAGTGATAAGTTCTCCTTGGTCAGGTCTACAAGCTATAGTTTTATTATGATACGATGAATTAATGTATCGAATTATAATGCTGACTGGTTGACCAACATAGCACGGTATAGCAGTATATTTGTCCGCACCGAGTTGTGAGTCTATAAAAAATGGCCTGCAAATTGTTCTGTTGCTCTGATATATAACTCTTGCAAAGTTGTCTTCCATTAGTCCATAATCATAGAAGTACGTGAAATTCCAATGATTACTAGTGGTAAATTTGAATGTTACATTACTGCCACTTATTAAATACGCTATGGGTCCTGGCGACAAAGAATTCTGAGATGAAATAACTGAAAATAAGTACATTACAAAGATTAAGACTTTTTGAAATGACCCTGCAGTGAGAGATTTCTTTATTTTTTACGACTACTATACCAAACTGGTTGACCAATACGATGTACATATGTTCAGCGCATGTTTTTTGCACGGTCTTAGATCAAAATATGGCTTCTATGACTATTATTCGGAACTATTCGAGTGTATCATAAGTCATGCTGTAAATAGCCAAGTAGAGAATAAAAAATATCCCCTGTAACATACAACCCAATACTGTTTCCAATAAAACCAGTACGTAAATACACAAACGGCAAAAGTGTTCTTCTAAACAAAGACAGATGTAAGGTAACCGTTTTTTTCCGACATTGAATGTACAATTGCACATCCCAACAAGAAGCTTAAAACAAGCAATGACAATCAGACGTATCAAAACTTCTGTCTGTTAATAAACTAACATTAAATACCATGCAATAATGAAAAAATCATGTCAAACAGAGGCCGTATATATTGTCTACATGGACTATCTTAGTTAACAGGAAAATCTTCTTTACGATATCATAGAACGTTTTCCGTTTGCAATATGTCAATACCTCTGCGAATTTTTCAGCTTGGCGCTTGGACACTTCTATATATATGCTTTTCAAATAAACGTCTTTCCTTTGACAATATTTTTACCAATTATTTCTTAGTGTTGTAACCTTGTTCTGTACTTAGAATTCATTGCAAGGTGGTACAATGAAATAGTTCGAAGGTGTTGGGGACTGGAAAATAGTACCATCTAAGAGTTTTTGTTAAGATTCATGTCAGGATTGTAATGGTGTGTAAGGAAGAGATCGGATATTAATTTTTTGGATGTGTTCACATAGTCATATAAAAGATGTTACATATGCTAACCCGATTTTCTTTCGTTTGAAATACTTGCATATTTACAAACAATGCATATACGAATTTTATCTAATACAATTGTTTTTGAAGAGGTCGAATGATTCTTCAACAAGTCATTTTGACGCTAAGCAGTGAATTAAAAACTGCTACGAAATGAAACGTATAGTTACAATAAAAAATTCCGGTAATCACAATAAAGAAATACAGCATCTAGAATAGCTTTTATCCTTTATATACAAAAGAAAAAATTTTATACATGTAATTCCTTAACGGACATATACTTTTTACGCGACGTCTGTCATACAAGTGAGAGGTTTAGCTAGCTATAAAACCAGGTTTAATCCGCCATTTTCTACATAAGGAAATGCCTGTACCAAGTCAGGAATATGACAGATGTTTTCAATTCGTTTGATATGTTTGAGCTTTTGATTTTGCAATTTGATTAGGGACGTTTTGAATTTTCCTTGGTATTTTTTGTTATTTTACTTTTTGCTATTATTTTAATATTTGAAATATTTTAGGAATTACTTGTGGTTTGTATTTAAACGATATGTTGACAGTTAATCTATCCATAAATAAATTTTATCTTGTTTCTGGATTAACTCGACAGGTGCACTAAACATATGCTAAATTACTTTCCTTTACAACGACCTTGAAAGGCAGGTAATTATCGATTTTACACTCTATTGATTTTAATACCTTATACTTTCCTATTTGAAGCGTGACGCAATTCTTGACTTAATGTATTGTTATCTTTTTATATCAAACATTTTTGCATTGCCATATACATCTTTTTCTGCATATTAACAATTTCATACAGGAAAATATCGCTACTCCACATAGGACACTGTTTTCTCGATTCACACCTTCCATAGACTCTGCTTAGGTCAAGTAATTTTTGCAGTTTAAAATAATAATCATGATGATAACGCGAATGTTATAATCGATCTAACAAAGGTTTATTGGTTTATTTTGTAAATAAAAGTACTAAAACGGAAAGTCCCTTATGAAATGGCAAAATCGAAAGCTCAAACACATCAAACGAATGGAAACCAACTGTCATATTCCTAACTTGGTACATGCATTTCCTTATGTAGAAATGGTGGATTAAACCTGGTTTTATAGTTAGCTAAACCTCTCACTGTTATGACAGTCGCATAAATTATATTATATTGACAACAATGTGTGAATAAAACAAACAGACATAAAAGGTAAAATGTCATAAACAGTCAACTTTGTGTTATAATCGTAATCACTATAAAAAAAATAAAAACATGTCAACGAAGAAAAAAAACCAGCTTATAGACAATGCACATAAGCAAAAAAACAAGAATACAAAAATCGACCATAGCACAATAACAAAATGACGGGATGTATAAGTACCGAGCTACGCCAAGAGGATATAACCAAAAATGGACTAAACAGTAAAGGTTAATAATTTACAAAGACAAATAAAAGAACACTACAACACGTAATTAAGATGATAAACAATGTCAGTACCTAGAATCTATACTTCAAGACCATCATGTATTATTTGTGAAGTTGATACGGAATATTTATCAACAAGGTCTTGGTATCTTCCGATGAACTTTTTTAGAAGAAGGACGAGACGTTCTTTGACATTACCCTGGTTCATCAATTTCTTGATCAGACACTGGTGACGTTTTATAAAGTCTTAGTAGCAGCTGCAAGCTCTTGAATACCGAATGAGTTAGGAAATGTATATCCATATGCAGGTGAAGTTGGTACATTGCTATGGTGGGGAAATTGATGATTTGAAAATTAAAATCGTCTTTTTTGTAATAGATTCTAGTACTGAGATAACCGCTTATGTCAAATTCGAGGTATAGGTCTAAAAATGAGGCGGAGGAAGCCGTGTCTGTTGTTTCTTTAATTACTAGTTCTAGAGGATATATTAATCAATGTACCGTTGTTTGTACGGAATTTTGTGAAACTTAGGTATCCAATACAAATAAGGTAAGTCCTCAGATTTGTTGTTCAATGTAATGTTGAGATGATAAACATTTCAAGGCTTCTTTGTCTCAGAAAACGGACTTTGATCAATCATTCACACAGTTTTTCAAATTATGAATTCGACTTTTTATCAAAGACCTGATTGTTTTGACCCATTCTGACAAAGTGTCCAGTTAAACTTCTTCTCGTTTAGCCCATGCTCTGGCGTAGTCCTCAATGGAATCGATAATTATTTTGAAATTTATGTTCATAACTGAAGGAAATTATTTTACTGACGCCATCACTAGTTGGTTTGCCGTTATGGAATATCTGTTTTACAGATAACGAAGAATATGTTCCAATTGTCGTAACCACAATCCCGTCCTGTTTTCTTGAGAGCGTGACCTATCGAATTAGACTTGTTGCCCGGTTTATACTTACATGAGCAACACGAAGGTGCGACATGTGGAGCAAGATATGATATTTCAATCCTTTATGGGTTGATTTAAAATACATATATAAGTAAGCAATGAATGTGGTTGTTAAATTTGATAGATGCTTTTTGTGCTTCTTTGTTAAATGTTTGTTTGTTTTGAGATTATGACACAGTGATGACTGCTGTACCCTAATTTTAACAATGTTACCTATTATGTCTGTTTTGTTCACGCATCGTTGTAAATATAATGGAATTTGATGCGACTGTCATACAAGTGAGAGGTTTAGCGCAATAAAACCAGGTTCAATCCACCATTTTCTACATATGAAAATGCCTTTACCAAGTCAGGAATATGACAGTTGTTGTCCATTCGTTTGATGTGTTTTATCATTTGATTTTGCCATTTGATTAGGAACTTTCCGTTTTGAATTTTCCTCGGAGTTCAGTATTTTTGTGATTTTACTTTTTACCCTTCTGGAACTCCTGAGATCACCCCAGAGTTTTTTTTAGGTATTCTTCTCAATCAAGGTCCTGCAATGATTGCTTATAGCTAAATACTTTAGGTGCAATGGTTTTGGTGTAACTGTAGGATACAATAGGAACAGACTGATTTTGAAAATAAAGTGGAATATTAGATGTTACCTCCTTGTGATGGAGAACGTTGCTAATGTTGATTGCATCAATTCCTTATTAGAAAACTGAACTGGAAGGAATTTCCTCTTTTCGTCAGGTACAGATGATTAATCACCCAGTTCATTTATTAGATTTTAGTTTGGGTCAACTAAATTTATACGATATATTTGGTTTACAGTTTGATTTAGAAGAAACACCGACATAGCTAGATAATACAATTAATTATCTAATTACTACCACAATTTTATATTAATTAGTATTGTAATTTTCATTGTTATTAATAAATATTATATGAGTATTACAAACCTAATCTTGAATTCTATCCTAATTCTATCATATTTTGGGGAAATTTTTAGAAATTCAAATGTGACGTCACTTTGTGCGTTGATCTCTTTGGCTAACTCGGCTGTGAATTTTTATGTGCTGGTTTATGTTGTTTTATGTATCCGTTTTTATTCTGTAGTTAGTCCCCACTTCGGTGTTATCATGTATATCTATTATATAGTCATTTTTATAAATTTACTGTTTGCAAAAGTATGAATTATTCTAAATAATAAGGATGTTCTTATCCCCGACAGAAAACCTTAGCCGTATTTGGCACAACTTTTTGGAACTTTTGGTCCTCAATGCTCTTCATCTTTGTGCTTGTTTTGGCATTCGAACTTTTTTGATCTGAGCGTCACTGATTAGTCTTGTGTGGACGAAACGCGCGTCTCGCGTATTAAATTTTAAACCTGGTACCTTTTGTTAGCTATTATTCGTATGTTTCTCTGTCCTATATGTTCTCCCATTTATTTTTATTGTAGTCCTGTCATGTAATGTTGTCATTTTAATGTTATATTTAACATTGACATAAAAGCAGGAGGTTTGGCTAGCCACAAAACCAGGTTCAACCCACCATTTTTTTCTTAAAATGTCCTGTACCAAGTCAGGAAAATGGCCATTGTTATATTATAGTTCGTTTCTGTGTGTGTTACATTTTAATGTTATGTTTCTGTTGTGTCGTAGGTATCCTCTTAAATTTGATGAGTTTCCCTCAGTTTTAGTTTGTAACCCGGATTTGTTTTTTTCTCAATCGATTTATGAATTTCGAACAGCGGTATACTACTGTTGCCTTTATTTTGCAATCTTATTCGTTTGAAAAGACGGAAAAGAGATACATAAAAAATTATGCTGACCAGCCTGTATATTGGAGAACATGTATTTATGCATCCCATGTCAAGTGCATAATCTATCAAACAGGTAGTAAAAAACAAGTTATAATTTAATGTAACTCTAGCGGATGATGAAGATGTCATCAAAGCTCCAAGAGGGCGATCGAGACTTGGAACACTATTTTAAAAGTCTGTTTGGTATTTACCGGTCGTTTATAGTGTTTGTCATGAAAAAAAAACCTCTCTTTTCATTTCAAATTCTCACATTCGGTAATTAAGGTGTACGGTTAAAAGAATTCAAACACTCATTCGATTCATTAATATGATCAAGTCTAAGGGCAAGATATGCGGAACAGAATAAAAGAGGACGTGGATTCTCTTTCTGAATAGTTAAAGCTTTGATGTCATTGATAAATATGAGAATTCAAACAAATATTATTGGGGTTGTGCGCCTTTATTCTTCATAATCTTTTAATACTCAAATGATTTGTTTAAGGAACGTTCTAAAAAAAGGTTTTGTTTATAAGCGAGAATGGATATTACCGAGTTTTCATCAAAGAGCGCAAATAATGATTATGAATAGTCAAGCAGGTCCCCCCCCCCCCTCCACAAGACAAAAGACAACAAAACACAAATGTTCTGCCCCAATAATAATTAACTTTGAATCATAATGAAAAAGTATATAGCTACATACCAGTTATAAACAAATATAACGAAATACAACGCAATGTATTGCAAGTCCCACTTACTTCCATTATAGCGAAATAAACCTGATTAAACTTCCCTGTGGCAGTACAGCGGGAAATGACCTATATAAAATAGAAACTATGGGTGGCAATGTATATACTACATATGTATATTATATCAAAAGAAGAGGTTTTTTATTGTAAATTATGATATATGTCTGTGGAGCATTTACGGTTAAAAAGAGGAGGAAGAGAACCTTTAATATTACATTAAAAATACAAATGTTGAATGACATGGATTATGGTTACAACATTGATTTTTTTTTTTAATTTTGCCAATGCTGTTTTTTCATTTACATCATTTTTTTACTTAAATTATATTCCTTTTTTGTTGCGACCGTCGGTTTGGCTTCACGGAATGTATAAATACGATGAAAACTGAAATTACTTATTCAAATTCTTATTTAAAACTGATCTTTCGGAAGGTGTTACAGCTGTAAGGCCGTAGATATGGTCAAAAATCGAAGTAAGGTCATTGGTCTATGATCATCCATGCTAGATCTATTTTCAGAGACACATGTGACGCTAAGCATCTATCTAAATGATATGACAAATCTGTTGTTTTTGCTTAGACAAAGTCCTGATATGTATTGTTTGTGTTAACTACATAACATATTAAAATAAGAAGATGTGGTATGATTGCCAATGAGACAACTCTCCACAAGAGACCAAATGATAAGAAATTAAAAACTATGTAATTGCTTGATAACTGACTTTGAAACACGTAAGGAAATCATAATAGGATATGAAAAAAGACAGATTGAAAGAAATCTAATTTTGATTGGAAAGAAATTTACATAAATGTCTACATAAGAAAATGCCTGTACCAAGCCAGTCATATAACCGTTGTTGTCCATTCGTTTGATGTGTTTGGTGTTTGTGCTTTTGATTTTGCCATTTGATTAGGGACTTTCCGTTTTGAATTTTCCTCGGAGTTCAGTATTTTTGTGATTTAACTTTTTAATCTAAAAAAATGGTATTGTAGATACACATTTCTTGTTCTAGTATGGAACATTTCATGCTCTGGTTCTAAAATAATGTTATATTACTGAAACTGACATTTAGATTTTGATTTGCATTGTCAATATGTTTGAAATGTTTACATTCTCCTGCGAATCAACTGTGCTCCTCTTCTCGTCGACATTATCGTTTAGTCATTTGATTAAAAAACTCTAAGGCCTCCATAAGTCCATGTGCATGTCCCAAGCCAAGAACCTGGTATGTTGTGTGTCTGAAGTAATATCTTCACTAGTTTTAATTTGTAGAGAATTTGTTTTGGATGGAAGAATTTTGATAATCTACTTCTAATTAACTCACAGAGTTGTCGATACTAAGATTAAAATATTGCCAAGATATTTACCTATTAAAGATGACCTTAGGTCAACGTCTACATGCATTTTCTTTTTTATTTTTGTGTAAGTTTATTTCTGTTTCATTTTGTTTTCAATTATAACACATTATTATCCATTACCATATTTTTATAAAAATACAGTCACTTTTTATTTTCAAATATTTTATGTATATAAAAAAACTAACTATAAACGAACTAAAACATGTGTCTAGAAAAATTTAGCGTGCGTGTAAAAATTAGGAATAGTACAAGGTAGATATATTTTTGTAAGACGATCATTAAAGTGATGGTTGATTTTTACTTTTTTATAATTTGTTTTCATTGTTAAAAGAATTCACCTGAGGATTTCATGTTGCAGCATTTAGTAATTTGATTTCTATAATTTTGTGTGGGCAAACCAAAAGCACTGTCATCAAAAGTAAAAGTTCAAATTTAAATCAATTTTAGAATTGTAATAGTGTGTAATTTTGCAGGTGTATAACCTCCAAATGAGGCCATATTCCACGAAATGAGAAACTAAAATTTTCGTGGAAAAAAAGATAAAGGAGAACATGATTGAATGACAACACATTTATTCATATTTAGATCTACCAATCTACTTTAACAATAGTTTAAATCAAGTTAAAGTGCAGAAACCCCCTCACACACACAAACATATATATATTTATCTAGATATGTCTGCTTTTCAATCATTTCAAGTATTTAAAAAATATCTCTACACAGTTGAAAATAAACACATTCACTAAATGCTAATATTAAATGGGTACGATTATTTAAGTAGGGTTTTTCTGTTCTAAAAGAACTAATCATATATCTGAAATTTTCAATTCTTTTATTTAGAGGTCATTCTTCGTTTCATATTCAAAATAAACAATTCATTGAATTGTTTTACCTTTCATGTCGGCATACCAAACAAAGAACCATACAAAATAAACGCTCATGTTACATAGTATTTCAGAAATGAAAAAGTATTTCACTGCGCAGATGTATGACCCCAGTTGACGGTATAAATAAACAATGTTAAGTTAGTAAAGGATATTCAATGAAAAGAAAAACAGATTTCTTTGAAAATAAAAGGTAAACTTATTAATATTTTATTCAAAAGTTCAGATCAAATTAAAGTACATATTAAAAAAATTTCCTCAATCATAAAATTTGTGCAACAATACTAATAAGAGATATATACGAAAACGATAAATCTATGACATATAGAAAGACAAATATTTCAGCACACGAAATGGCCGTCTGCAGAGTAGTTCTATTTCAAAATGAAATAACACATTCTGAAAGATCTTTGTTATACCCTTTCAAGGCCCCCTGTTGAGCATCATTTTAGCGATTGCTTTGTTCATTCATGAAAACTTCCATGCAATTGCAGTACAGGATATTGTGGTTCGACAGACGGTCTGAAGGGTTGTCCTACTAGGAAATTTGGATTTTTTGCAACATTGCGACTGCGCCTATTGAGGTGTTTCTGGAAAGGCTGCAAAGATTCCAAATTTTGTTAACGAAGTTATACACCAGAATTAATGCATTGCGCACTACATGATTAGTATCCAATATTATGATTATGCAATCATCACACCATTGTGAACGCTAGTTACAACCCCGTCGATAAGATATTGGTTTAAACATATTATGTTCATAGAATTAAGGTCCGTGTCTACAATGGTTCATGTAATTTGATGGCTGGACATGTTTAAAGTAAGTTTGTTATCTATCGGTCAATTTAAGTTTAATTTATCATTGTTTACAAATAATGACTCAAAACTAATAAAAAAGTCTTAGAGAACGATCTAATCATTACGCTCATATTTTATGTTTTTTTTTTTATTCCACTTTTACTGAAAACAAAAAGACTAATTATAATTGATGTCACTTCGTGTCCCACATGGTCTCTTGGTATAAATTTATACTGTACAAAATAAATAATCAAAAGGTTTAAGTACATGTTGAGTGTACTTATTGTGATTTTAATACAATAGGTAATTATGTAGTAGTCAAAATATTTATATAAGTCTAGCAATGGAATTGAAGTGAGAGTTACGTGTCGAGTTAAGGATAGAGTTAAACTTCGGTAAATGGTCGAGTTAAAGTAAAAATCGTGTAGTTCGGAATTAAAGTTCTGAAATTAGTTTTATAATTTCAAGTCTTATTTATTTATAAGAAATTAAAAGTTTAAAAAATTTACCATTTGCAAATGAATCTGAATTTAGTATTAACTAAGGATATATGATTGATGCTTTGTTGGAACATCCAAAGCGTAATCTAAAACTTTCGACGAAAAATAATGGTAGGAATACTTATTATAAGTGGAATAGCAAACAGCGAAATAAAATACGATATAACCATTACTTCTCATGACAGAAACAGCATTTTAAACTTAAAACAATATAAACACTGTGAGAGAACAGTTTTGCACAGCTTTCACCAGGAATGCATCACACTGCTATTGAAAGGATTTTGTTTGGTAATAAGATTACCTTAAGTTTACTATTTTTTTACTTCGTATTTTGACAAGTTTTTTGGTTTCATGACTTCATCTATGCATATCTATAACATCTATCCAAGTGTGCGATTGCGGTTAAATGTTCATCCAATCGTGAAAAACCAATTAAGGTAATAAAGGTAATACAAATTTCATAATTTGTACATTCCATATTGCAATAAGTTTCCATAAAATCTATGTGATTTGAAACTCATTCCTCATTGTAAAGTTTAAGATATGTTACTTTACATATACTAGTTTACTGACCTTCTCAACTGTAGATATCATTATTCTTTACATGTTATTGCAGTATGTATTGGTATACATAAATTTAGGGAGAAAGAAAGAGAGACATAGGGACATAATTTCAAAATTTAGTGTGATGTAGTAAGCTCTTTTATTTGGATATTTTCTTTATCAGTACTTCTATTGATTTTGCTTTTGATAAATAAAACACAACTGAATATATATTGATATACAGGTATGAACACTTATGATTCAACATTATGTCGATGCTTATATTGACATTGTACAAAGTCATGCTTTTCTCGTACTCTTTATGACATCTTTACACTACATCTGTTGGATCTGTTCTGATTGATATTTAGATGATTTATAAACTAGGAACCAGCTTTCAGTAACTGCGAATACTCTATTTCGATACTTCGGGTCTTTTGTTGTTTTTATGTGCTTTTGGTCGATCTGATGAGTCAAGTCCTTTCCAACTGATGTTGAACAGTATGTTTGTATGTTGTGCTGTTATACCACTGTCCGAGGTAAAGGGGTGTTCTTTACATGCATGTCCCAAGTCAGGATCCTGTCATTCAGTTGTTGTTGTTGCTTGCTGTCTGTTATATTTGTTTTTCGCTTATAGTTTTAACATAGATCAGTTATCGTTTTTAAATTATTTTGACATTTGTCAAGTCCGGGCTTTTTAAAGCTTACAATACGTTTCATTTTTGCTCCTTGTTGAAGGACGTACGGTGACCTATGGTAAACTGGTGTTTCCTTTCAAACCCAGATTTCCAATTTGTTATCACACCACTGTCCCTGTTCAGGGATATGTTTTTGCGCTCACTAACATTTTACACTGTACCCCGACATATTCTTTATGTGCTTTTCCCATGTCTGGGGCCTGTAATTCAGTGGCTGGCATTGTTGGCTGTCTGCAATATTTTTTTTTGTTAATTTTTTACCATAAATCAAGTCGTTAGTTTTATCTTTTAAATTGGTTTACATTTCGTCAATCGGGGTCATTTATAGCTTAATTTGAGGTATTTTGAAATTTGATTGAATAAATCTTAAAAAGATGAAAGATATATGGAAGTAGGAGAATTTATTTTGGGATAATTGTTCAGAGGTCAAGGTCACTGTTACTTAAAATAGAAATATTTTGGGAAAATGATTTCCGGATGGTAACTTGAGTTTCTTTTGATTAACTAGAATGAAAAAAATACGGAAGGTTGATATAAAAAGGGAGAAAAAGAATATTGATTTTGAGGTCAATAGGTCAAAAGTCAAGGTAACTGTTACTTGAAATAGAAACAAAAATGGAAAAAAATATTTTCGGATGGTAACTCTAGCTTTCCTTACATAATTGAAATTACCTGATACAGATAAAAGATACATTGAAGGGAGAAGAATCCCTGTTGATTGTGGGGTCAATATGTCAAAAGTTAAGGTGACTATTTCTGAAAAAAGAAAAAAAAATGTGAAAGAAAATTGTTTGCCGGATGGTAACTTAAGTTTCCTTTGGTGGATTGAAACGAAACTTTACGGATGGAAAATGTCGAAAAGGGAAAGACACCTATCGAGTTTGGGATTAACAGGGCAAAGGCCAAGGTCACTGTAACTAAAAAAGTAGGATTAATTTGGATAAATTATTTCTAGATGTTTATTACCTTTCCCTTGTTTTATTAGCATGAAACTTATACAGATGATATATATAAGAAAGAAAAAGATGCCTATTGATTTAAGTGTCAACAGTCCAAAGATGAAGGTCACTGTTATTAAAAAAATTCTAAAGTTTGAAAATAAATGATGGAAGGTCACTTCAGATGTACTTGCTTAATGGGGTCAACAGGTCAATGGTCAAGTTCGCTGTAACTGAAAATAAAACGAAATATGAAATAGTGATTTCCGGATAGTAATATTTGTTTGCTTTATTGGAATGAATAGTGCAGATGAAATATATTTAGTTAATGTGGTAAAACTAAGTGTTTAAAACCTCAGATTTGGTCATATCGCATCAAGGTGACAGACATTCAAATTAACATACATGTACATTGCTTGATACAATATAACATGCTAATAATAATTTGTTTCATATAAAATAAGAGTTAGTCCAATGGGTTGTTATGATAACAGCGATTGTACTGCGTATCCTTATCAGATTATCTAAAACGTGTAATTACAATTCAGAATATTTTGCAGGCAGTATGCATATCTGGGTTTCGATAGCAGTTGTAACACTGTGGATGTTTGAAGTGTCTTCAGTTTATGGTAAGATTGTTTTCTTTATGTTTTTATGTTCACGTTTTATGTCTCTCTGTGATGATTTTCCCACTCATTTATTGCTGAAATGTGTGTTGGAAGATTTTACAATATTTTCTATTTTTTTTGGAAAAATGTATAGTCACTGTGTTAAAGTTTTCGACAAATTGTAGATAACAAATATAACATTAAAGTGACAGTAGATTTGTAGTGATTTAAAACGTAAATATTGCAATGTTACATACTAATACATGTAATACGAGTATACGTAAGGAAGGTACGGTGCATTGAAGTATTGTAATACAGTGTAACATAGAATAATAGTCACATTTAAATCCTTATTAACATTTTTAGGATTGTCACTGCCGTCCTTGATAGAACCACTCCCGATTAACATTTGTTAAATCTGATCAAGATTCTGAGATTCGTGGCTGGAAATTAATAAGATTGTAAAAACAAGTTTTATTCACGACAATAAGAATTGTTCAAGAAGCGTCTCGATTCAGCCGTTACCAGTCAAATTCGTCCCAATAATCTCCTTCTTAATCTGATTCTGATCCTATTTGTATCTTTTTCCATTTAAAAGAAAAACGACTATACATGTCCCGACAGCTTCCCGATTCTTCCGAATGCGATCCGACAGAGATCAGACAGTGATCAAATAGTGAACCTTTGCATTTGGCACATTCTGAACTCAAATGGGAGCCATTATCGGCACCATGTGAACGCCGCATATACAGGACTGTTTTAACTAATGATAATATTAGGTCAACTGATTTATTATTGACTGGTAAGCATTAAAATTTTTCAAGTCTTATTCAATTACACGATGTTAATGGGGTTAAATTTTACACCTCTTGATTGATTTAAACATCTTCTAAATTTTATAAAAAGAATATGACTTCAAATGAATCAAGGACAGTTGACAATTTAGTTACTAAAGTTTAACAGAACTCTGTGGTTGTAGGAGCCCTTACGGTTTCGTATAATGGAAGTAATAAAGTGGGTTCTACAACATACAGTCTGAAATGTGAAATTCCCGAATTTTCTACTCAAGCGGTTTGGAGTAAAGATGGAAAAGCTATGTCAACGTGTTTTACATCTGGCTGTTTGACTACATCTTCTCCACCCTATAGTTTTCGACACAGCACGTCTGCGATATATGTAGATTTCAGTGTTTTGACGGCAAATGAAACTGACATACAATGGACTTGTGCACATATAGGAGACACATCAGTCCATTTTAAAGTTCAAGTTGATTTGAGTAAGTAATTATCATTATAATTATCACTGTTATGAATATTATTATTAACATTATTGTTTTAATTTTTGTTTTTGCATGTGGATGTGGGTCCTTTTTATTTAACCCTAAGCTTTTGTTTTGAATTGTAGTCTAGCCAATTCAATGTCAAATTCATATTCTTTATAACACTTACAAATATGAGGTTCAAACTTATGAAGTTTACACACAAGTGTTTTTGTTTGAGAAACATTAAATCAAACCATAGCTATGCACATTTAATTTCTCTTTGCTTACTCTTTTTGTGGATATGAATGGTTTTTTTTGTAGCTCCTGAAGATGACAGAGGAGGGTTATTAGTTGGTGAGTATGTTTGTTTATGTCATGGATGTAGCATTACGATTTATTCTGTGCTATCTATCGGTCTACTGACATAGGTAGTCTTGATTTTACATGTCTTTATGCAAACATGTATATGTTGCTAACTTCTACGTCATTTGATATTTCGCGGAATGTTGTCTCATTGACAACTATATTATGTTCAATTTTAAACAAACTTAATCAAATACCCTGTACTTACTTATATACAGTGTTTTGTTGCAAATGAAGATTTCTGTTTACTTTTAATTTTTGTAGATCGAAAAGATGACAAGAGCGGATTATCGAGTGGTAAGTATAATTGTCAATGTTCCATAACCATTTGTTATGTGCTATCTTTCGTTCGATCAATATATAACATTGAAGCCTACTATTAAATATTTTATCAAAATAAACAATCATTCTGAATTTAAGAGAACTATATAAACAAAAGTAGACAGTAAGGTACCAACAGCGTGATTTCCTTTGGGTTTTTGTTGTTGTTGATAGCCTCTATAACATTCATTCAACTTAAAGGTACCAGGTTGTGTAGTCAAAGGTTTTTTGTTGAAACCGGTTTGTTGTTCTCTTCATATGTTTTTGTATCGTTATGATCGTTGATCATATGTACATTCAATTGCCTTTCAAAGCTTCTTATCGAGTGACCTGATTTTTATGAAACTATTAGCAACGTCAATACACAATGCAGTTGTGTATCTCTATTAAATATATAATCGAATGAATTATTGAGTTTTCAATAAAAACGTTTGTCTTTCTACGAAAGGTGGCCACACCTGGTATCAGCAAATAATTTGACTTGAATTTTTATCATCGAGGCCTTTCTGAATAGTACATTGTGTAGCGTCTATTTCAATTTGAGATGCAAATAACTTTTTTATTTTTTTATTTTCAGCGGCTCATATAGAAAATACATATTATCATTGCCATTTCATTTACATTCACCCTTTTTAAATTTTTAACAGCACCTAAAGACATCATAGAAATCACGGGCATATGAAAGGCATTGTTCTGTCTATTTTTAAAATGTGTACTACCAACTGAAAAGTATATGCAGTTATCATATTTGGATAAAATGTTTTTGCTTTATTCCATTTATCATTGACTCAATCTCGTTTGTTTGTCTCATACAAATTATACTTTAACTTATGAACGCTGTATTGCGTTGTTGTTTGAAATGTTTGTTTTGTTTTAGCCCATTATTGCTTCATAAGATGACAATTTGCCTAGGTTTTCCAAGAAAAAAAATTATATAAAGAATAATTTTCTTTGGATTATAGCATTAAATCTGAACAACCTTCATAACAAAGTTTTTATAATTTTAACTCGACAGTAGGCTCCTACAGTATTCTTCTTAAAATATTTGCTACATTGAAAACGGTCTTGTGTAACGAACAAATCAATCGTACGATGTAAAAAGTCGAACAACTTTAAGTTAAAAAAAAGTTATTTGAAACCGAATCGTGAAAGATGTTTGATTCTTTTATTGAAAACATATTTGTTACGTTTGAAGGATGCATTTCGAAAGACGATCGGTATTTCTATGGGAATAAACTGTGCTCCTTCTTACAAACTTGTTCCTTTATTCACTTAAAACAGGAGCTTCTCATGAAGAATGAAAAGAAGCTTACAATATTCTTTAACTTCACGTTAAGCTATACATAAAACTGATGTCCTCTCAGTAAATAATTCATAGTTTGGTGAGTGAAAATATTGAACGCATCCATCAAATCGGTCTTGAAATAAAAGCTGAATTCAGTAAAGTCTGCTTCAAATCTTGGCATTCATCTAGAAATTTAAAATTAGAGTCGGTTGAGACCTTATTTTACTTGAAAGGAAATAAAATCCGTTTTCCAAGGATTATCTTTCCATTTCTAGTAAGCAACATTTCAGCAGCGCCTGCATATGAAGTATAAAGCGCACAAAGGATATTCTAGAGTGTGTGTTACCTATCATTGTTTCCTTGATAGGTGGTTGCTACATTAGACGAGGTCAGATGCATTTATGAGACCTTCATTGCTTTCAAGTTTTTATGGACTTTTCCATCTTTTCACTCTTGATTTACTCGTTGATCTGCTAAATAAATTATTTCCTTAATGGAACAAAGAAGAATTGTTTTTATATTCTTAAAGTGGCATTAGCTGTCAAATTCATGTTCACCGATTTGACTCAAATTCTCATATTTGATTTATAACATACTAAAACATATATCTAAATTTTAAAAAGTCTAAAATAAACAATTTACAATGCATGGGCTCGATAAAATGTATCAGCATTCCGTGTGTATTTAACTCTAGACGCCATCTAATTTACCATCGAGGTGGCCCCCAAAGACTGCTGACGGTCATATAACCCGATATAAACATAAATATAGATATAAATAGATAGTGAACTCGTGCATGGGATTTTTCTAGGTCTGTTTGATTTCATATTTATATAGGTTAAAAATATATGTTAATCATCGTTTTTACTTGTATAACCATGAGTTTTTGTTGACCGAATCAGTCAATAAAATGGTTAACCCTTGTTTCACTTTCAGTGTTGTCATTTTTTCAACTGAAAACACCTAATTCATGAGTAACTCATCTCTAGCTTAGGGGTTAAGTTAAAGGTCACATGAATACGGATTCAATAAGGTCGAATTATTCACTTGCAAGTGAATAATTCATCAGCGATGTTTCTTGACTTATTTTGACAAAATTGAACCAAACTGACTGCTAAAAGCGAATTATTATTTCACTATTTCACTTCATTAATGATTGAACAAAAAATATTTTAACTTTTTATTATATCTCGTAGATAATGACCCTTTAACAAAAGATGTAGTGAATGACTTTGGATATTTATTGGTGTATGCTTTAAAATTAAGAATAGTGATAGGTATTTTACTTCATAGTTTAGTCGTTCAGTCTCTGTCACGTCTATGTGAGTATTCTAAGTGGATCAAGTATTATTTTTTAAGCCTTACATAAATTATGTAGTTATAATAGTGTACTTATTTTTACTTTACGTTATATCTGGTGAAGAACGAAATTTCGATAAATAGTGAGAATGTAAAAGTTTGTCTCTGTTCTAGATCTGTCAATTTCCACATAATTTTTTTTATCGGACAGAGGTACTGAGGTGTAAGAGCAATAAAACAATTCTGTCTTTCAAAGTTTTTCAAGGTTTTTTTTCTGTTTCTAACAGTTTATCCTCTTGTGCTGCATGTCTATATTTTTTTTCGTTCATAGTTACGGAAAAAAACCTTCTATCTGCGAGTGCTCCATATTTTATTTTTATATAAGTAGGTTTTTTAAATTAAGGTAAATATAAACTTGGCTCATGCACATACAAAAGAAAACAAGCTAATATTTATAAAACCTAATCTCCCACAATAACAGGAGACGCTTATGTTGTTGAGAAAGAAATCTAAAGATAATTAAAATAAAGAAATCTAGAATTCAATATTCTGTTGTATATAATAATCAAGGATACATACTATGGCAAACTCGTAATTAACTATAGCTTAGGCAATCGTTTACACATTTAACATAAATTACTAAATCCCTAACGGGAGGGATTGTGCTTGATTTTCATATGTTGAAGACATAATCTTTGAATCAATTTAATAGAGGTCTGGAGCTGTCATGTCAGTAACTGCTAGTAGTCCTTTGTTAATGTATGTATCATTGTCATTTTGCTTGGTTTCTTTTGTTACCTATTCTGACATCGGACTCGGACTTCTTTTAAACTGAGTTTTATTGCTGTGTGTTTCTTTATTCTACATTGGCTAGAGGTATAGGGAGAGGGTTGAGATCTCACAAAACATGTTTAACCCCGCCGCATTTTTGCGCCTGTCCCAAGTCAGGAGCCTCTGGCCTTTGTTAGTCTTGTATGTTTTTTTAATTTTAGTTCAGTTATATGTTTTGGAGTTTAGTATGGCGTCCATTTTCACTGCACTAGTACACATTTTTAGGGGCCAGCTGAGGCCCACTTACGGGTTCGGGATTTTCTCTTTGCGTTGAAGACCCATTGTGGCCTTCGGCTGTTATGTGCTCTTTGGTCGGGTTGTTGTCTCTTTGACATATTCCCCATTTCCATTCTCAATTTTATCAATTTAACATAAACTTCGCATTCGAGTATTGACGGGATTGAATTAGATTTGTGAGATTCCCAGTAAACATGTATATCCTTTATGTTTTCAAAAGGTTTTAACACTAAACACAAACAAAGTGCACATGTTTGTAGACTACATGATAAAAGTTGCAATTTCTGTTCCACTAGAAGAAAAAGAAAAAGAAAATTCTTCGTACAAGAAGATTATAATTTCTCTTTCTCACAAAAGCAGAAAAAAAGCTCTTGAAAAAGAGTTATGTCAATTTTATTGGCAAAGGATATTTGTTTTAATGTTTATCAATGATTGCAAACAATAAGTTTTATTCCAATGTCTTAACCGTGTTTACTTAAAACGTTTACTTCATTGCACAAAAGAAATTAACAGAAACTAAAGTTTTAATTATATTAAATGTCAAAATACAAACATTTTCAGAATATTTGTACTAAATTGAATTCTACCGATATTCACGCAATGAGGTACAAAGCACTTGTCTATCTCATTTCGTTAAGTCATGTTGTAATTATCTTATTCTGGAATATTCGAAGAGAAAGCCCACTTTTAATTGCAGCATATTTATGACTTCTTGTATTACTGTTACTCTTGAGGACATCAGATCTTGACTGAATAATTGAATAATTAATTCAGCGGCCTTAAAATTATCTCCATTGTATTATCATAGATGTCTTTCCTCCTTCACCGGACATGACTTATAACTAGCAACACGGCGGGTGTCTTGCAAGAAGCAGGAACTGCTCATCTTTCCGGAACACCTGAGTTTACCCCCAGTTTTTAGAGGTTCAAGCTGTTCGTCGGTGTGTGTACATTTTAGTTTTTTGTATTATATATTGGTTGTCTGTGTCTCCAACGTTTTGGTGTTCTCATTTGTGTTCTCTGTCTTTTTAACACTTTCTATATAAATAAGATGTGGTATGAGTGTCAATGAGACAACTCTCCATCCAAGTCACAATATATTTAAAGTTAACAATTATAGGTCAAAGTACGGCCTACAACACGGAGCCTTGGCTAACACCGAACAGCAAGCTATCAAGGGCCTCAAAATGTCTAGTGTAAAACAATTCAAACAGGAAAACCAACGGTCTAATCTATATACAAAACGAGAAACACCTATGAACCACACCAACAAACAACAAACAACAGGCTCCTGACTTAGGACAGGTGCATAACAATGCAGCGGGTATAGATAGTTTTGCTTAAAGGTGTCTGTATTAGCACATACATCTCCTTCTAATTTCTAAGTCCCACTATGACCTTGAAAATCAATAGCAATCAAAATCTTGATATGACAAAACATCCGCCGGCAAACGATATTGCAGTTGAAGGCAACACTTCTCCTCCTTCTGCGAAAATCGGGAGTTTGTGAAGAATCGTCCTTGACTTTGATAAGAAATCTGTATTAATGCTCGAAACAGTTTAAAGGGTCGCGGTTCGACGTTGACTAAAACGTTCTGGCGATCGCTTTTTATTTTATTTAATGCTTACAAAAAAACCAGCGCGGGAAATAAAACACGATTACTTTTCCGGATGCGGGGAGCGGGAATATCAAAAAAAAATTCCGTTTAGAAAAAAATATGTGCGGGCGGGTCCGTCGAACAAGGAATTAAATTGAGCGTGCTTCATGACTTTCATATGGTAGGTATGATGCCTGTCAAATGTAGTTTGTTCCTAATAAAACTTTATTCAGTTTGTACTCTGTTTCATCGTCTTTTAATCAATTCCTTTTTTATGTCGAGCGTGAAAATAATCTTTCAATATTATAGGAACAAAAGCTGGCATCGTTGTGGGTTCCATAGCTGGCATTGGATTGGTTTTGATTGTTGTTATAATTGTCATACGAAGAAAAGGAAAGGGTAAGTATCATGAAACGTAGAAAACCTTTTTATAAACTTTATTTTCAAAGATATACCAAAGACTTCAAACAAACCGATATTAGTATGCAAAACCAAACACGGGACCAGGAGGAGCGTGTAGTTCATTGGTTGTTGCATGTGGCTGTATATTATATTTGTTTTCGTTTATTATGTTGTACATCAATCGGGACGTTAATTTTCTCATTTGAATTGTAATCGCAGAGCCTTTGCAGCTTGCTATGTGTTATATGTTTTGCTTATTGTTGAAGGCCGACCAATAACCTATGTAAGCGTGATATACATTTTCGTTGTTTCGTCGCATGTGTTACTTTAAACATAATTTTGTCAGAAGACGGAAAACGGCAATGGATAAGACAAAAACATAGCAAATACACACAAGACAGTGTAAAAAAATGTAAAGAATTGGTCGGTGGTTGGTTCTTTTTTTTTTTTTTTTTTACAAAATATGGTGTTATAGACGTCATTGATAATTTGCCCAACATCTGTGCATTGTAAACCTTGCCTTATGGTATTTTGATGGTTTACTGTTGTTAAAGGTATTCACTCACTATGTTGTATTATTATCAAAAATACACAATAATTCTACTTTTGACTTCATATCGTAATTACTTTAGTTGCAGACGAATTGTGAATGTATATCATCGTACATTTGTTTTCAACAGTTTTCCTACTAGACACAACTTTTGCGGAACATTATCATATCTTTTTTTAAACGGACATTGCCTGTCCCAAGTCAGGAGCCTGTAGTTCAGTGGTTGTCGTTGGTTCATGTCTGTCATATTTGTTTTTCGTAAACTGTTTTGTTATAAATTAGGCCGTTAGTTTTCTCAATTACATTGTTTCATATTTTTCATGTCGGGGCCTTTTATAGCCGACTACACGGTATGGGTTTTTCTCATTGTTGAAGGCCGTACGGTTGCTTATAATTGCTTACATCCACTTCATTTGAATTTTGGTGGATAGTTGTCTCATTGGCAATCATACCACAACTCCTTATTTTTATATTGTTTTAATTAAACATATTTTACTGTCAAAACAAGGGAAAATGACAAAGGATAAGACACATTTTTTTTAATTACTTCTCCAATGTTATTTACAGTTATGTTCCGAAGATAACTAGCGATATAAAAATAAGGAGATGTGGTATGGTTGTCAAATAAAGCGAGCTTTCCTTATGGAACAACAATAATCCCCAAAACAAATTGAAAACATTCTTAAACTGACCAAATCTTCATATACGTGTGCTAGATTTTACGTGAGTAAATTGCAGGGATGCAAACTAAGTATTTTCTTTTTGTCAAGCGCAAAACATTTGTTCATCATTATGATTTTCTTGGGAAACCAAGTCCACTGCATCTTTTCCGCTCTAAAAAATACGAACAGTTAAATATTAATAACATGCAAACTTAACTTAATACCTTACAAACGCGAGTAATATAGAAGTATTATTACCCTGGACATACTTGCACACATATTCCTTTTGTTATTAAACTATATTTGCTTATTTTTTGTAGGTTCCCAAGACGATGAAAACAAGCTATCTAAAAGTTAGTATGATTGTGTTATGTAGTTTTCTGTGCTGTCTTTGGTCGACCAATACAGTTTGGTCATCGCAGAGACATATATATACACACAGAGATTGGCAATTCAAATTACTGTGATTGGAGCCGTGATAATTATAAATCTATAAACAATCCGAACAAATACTTCTTAAATTTGTATCATGCTAAGGCTATTTAGACCGAAAACAAAATGTAAGTGCTTGTTCTTTCATGCTATTTGAAAATATTTTTAAAAACTCTATAGCGAAAATGTAATTGACTTTTAACGGTGCAAAAAGTCTCGCTGTCGGTTGAAACACCAAACAAATATTATAGTTGAAAGTCACGGTAATCAGTTTCCACGAGACAAAAATCGGACATTTGACAAAATTCCACTGGCAATATTTTTCATTTATGAAAAAGTTATTTTATTTCTTTTCTAAATATGTTGATTGACTATTTTGAGGACAATTAGGGAACATGTTTGTTTTCCTGTTTGAATATTATTGCCCAACACTTCTGTTTAAATAAAGTTCTGGCCAGGGTTAATATAATATGTCAGCATTTTCTTTAGTTGTAAAAACAAATACCAAGCGATATTTCCTTTAGAACTTCGCCTCCAGCAAATGTCAGGTGATCGGAGGGCAATAAATAACGTAATCGCACACATGTGAATCCACAATCATAAACTCTAAGGAATTAATTACCGGAGAATCGGACTTAAGACATAATTTCACTGGCATGTGTAATTAAGGAGCAAACTTAAGCAAAAAAATGAAGTACAGAAATGTTTCTTGCATTATCAATATTATAATCATTACCAGATTTTTATTTTAAAATATTTAGAAATGCCGAAAAGCAGAAAATATTTTTCTCAATAAATACACAAAAATAATAAATACAACGATTTTCAAGTAGCTTATTAGGAAAGAAATTATTTGATCTGACGTAAGTTTTCCCCTTTGTTTTTTTTGGGGGGTTAGCTATCGAGGGTTATTCGCCCCTGATTTGTAGAGAAATTGATCGGCGAGATTTTCATTCCGGGCCGCGTGAAGTAACGTGATTTCACAGAGTTGCCAATCTCTGTGTATATATGTCTCTGGTCATAGTTATTTATTTCAGCTTTCCATTAGTTGATTTGCGACCATTAGTAAATTTCCCGCAACCTGACATGTTTTTGTTTGGCATTGTATTTTTCTTTCGCTGATTCACCATGTCTGTCTATTTAACGATTAAGAATTCAAACATTTAGCACTATATGAGGTTTAAACTTAAAAACCTTTCATAATTGTTCTTTGACTAATATAAAAATTGTTAACTCCCTAAACATACTTGTCAAAATTTATGTTTTATTATACATCTAAACTACCTGCTTCATTTTTTATAGGTGAAGATGAAGACGATAAACAAGAAAACATGCACGGTTAGTATGTATGGCATTACCACTGAGCTTTTTTCGGTCGGCCGTTATTGGTGGTCTAAATGTTATATCGAATCCTGTAGGGAAATATTTCAACAGACCGAACAATCTTCAAGGAATGAACTGAGCTAAATAAACAATATTAGTAATATTACTTGTAAGATACCAACATCGTGATTTTAAATTGACATCAATGGCCCTACTGAGCTAAAAAGGGAGCCCGCGAGACTCTAATTTTCAAAAACTCTTTATATCTATATAAAAAAGAGGTGGAAGACAGTTAAGGGACAATCAAAGCTAATGAGTCATATTTAACTTTCTAACGTTTAAAGAAATATCCTTTTGTTATACTCATAAATCTTTCTATCAACAACTGATTACACCGTTTTTGTGTTATTTACGCACGAAGAATATTGTTTAAACGAAAAGAAAGGATATGGGGTATTCATCCATGACACAACAGCAGTATGTGCGTAGCAAAAAACACAAACAGCAAAGGAACAGCGCTTTTATTGCTGTTCTTCATCTCCAAGTACCAATGAGGCCTTCAACACGGAGCAAAGAAACTCTCATCTCACTGCAAGTTTAAGACGGCCCCTTGGACAAGTTTGAGCTGATTTATTTGCAAACTGACGATCACGCCAAAACTGTGAATTGAAGAAAAACTCATGGATTAATATCAATAAGATAAATCTGGCAAAGAATCAGTGAACTGTCATAATTTAGTCCGACAATTACACTGAAGCGTGCAAAAAAAGGTCAACATTTAGACTACCATGGGGCAAATCGAGATAAAGGTTAGATGTCTTGGCAGGAAGTAACAATGAACAGGGAAAACAATTCGGGTAGCCATGTAAGATGTAACACCACCAACTCGGGCCATTTTAGAATGTATTGTTGGCAGATATTAGATATTTGGTGGTCCAAATTAACACTGACAGTTGAAGTTTGAATGTAAAATTTTCATTTATTTGTATTTTAAAGTTAAGGATCCACCATGTCATAATAGGTAGTCATACTTGTCCGCTTGTCCACTTAAAAATGATGTGATCTGTCCTTATTCAAACGAATATAGACAGAGTACCAACTAAATAATTTACCAGGGTGTTTGTCTATATTATTCACACGTGTACATCGGGGGTGGCCACTTGTGAATCGATGAATTGAAGCGAAATGAAATAGGACGTTTTGACAAACACTTTAATGATAGTAACGTACCAATTTTTACGTATTTAATGTATAACGTTAAAAAGCAGAATAATAGATTTTAATGTAAAACAAGTGCAAAAATCAAAATATGAATACTTTCCATTATCCCATTGTTTCCTCGTGGTTTCCACCCACTTTAAAACTGTGTAACTATCATCAGTATCTTTTGCAATGCATATACATGATACATGAACAAGTCTAAATTTTATTTATATTTACTGACCATTTTATCTTTCGATCATTTGTTGATCCGATAGCAATATCGCAACATACTAGATTTTTCTTTTATGGTTTGTTAAAACAACATATAATTCCAAGTACATAATTATCACCCACAGACTGAAGGTTAAACAGTTTTCATAAATCTACAGCAATACTTATTTAGTTATGTTATCTATATTAGTACCGATAACAGATCTATTTTAAAACTCTCAATAAAAAGATGTTCCAACCTATTTCAAATTTTGCCCCTTTAAGAAGGTACTTTGACTGACATAAAAACACTTACAATTGTATGTCACTTATGATCAATGTAATGTTTTACAACTTCAAAATAGGTAAAGAGGTTTTTGAATTTTCAAAACTTTTAATAAAATTCAATTTTGAAAAAAATTCAAAGTATTTATGATTTTGATGTTTTGTCTTAATTTTTTTTTTTAATGTTGTTGCTTTAGGTAAGAGGTTAAAAAGTCAAAACTTCAAAAGTGAAAATGTGTTTTGAGATCAATTTAGAGTTGGGGGTTGAGATCAAGATAGAGGCCAAGTTGAATTTATAGTTCCTGTGTGATTTCAAATTTCACTTACAGAAATTTATTTTGGATTTTCAATAAGGGGACATTTTTTGAAATCTCTAAAAATCAAGTTTAACACACTTTTCACAACAAGGGCCATGTTTGTGTCAGGATTGTTTGGAAGATAGCCATTTAACAATGTTTAAGGACACGAACAAATCAAAGACTGAAGCTTGTTATATTGATCATTTTAAAGATATTAATCTTTGGTGCATATTGATTAAAATATCTGCATAAATGATAGGCATGCAATCAAAATAAAAGAAATATTTCAATACAACAATTTTCAAATAGCTATCATAGTCATAGCATAATGTATGTTTTCGTTCCGATTGGTCTTAAACATTATACATTTTTTTAACAAACATAAATTTACTTTGTCTTTACAATAACACATATAGGCTTTCTTTCTATCAATTATTCACATAATTTTATATATCAAACATATTTTAATACATCAATTTTCAAGTCCTCATTATAATGTATTTTTGTGTTCCTGCTGGTCTTAAACATTATGCATTTTCCCATAGGTTCCTATTTTCTAGTCTGGAACATCCACACTCACCATCTCACACGTCAGAACGATAACCATCGTGTAACTTTAACAATTAAGTTTTCTGCGTGATCTGCTCATTATCACTGGACTTTTCAAACGTAAAATATTATATGTCTATATGTGAAATTATGTTTGTTCAGGTAAAAACAATAAATGGAAAATATGTTTACAAATTCACGGTAGGTATAGTGTCCGGCTGAGATCGGGTTTTTTTGAGTGAATCGGTCCACTTTTTTCGAGTGTAGATCAGGTTCTTTCGAGTGATACTACATGGGATCAATTCGATTTACTTCTATTTCGCGAATATAATAGTTGTATTCGTGACTGTTCATCTTATTTTGAATGCCCTATGTTTTTTTCAGCACAAACGACGCACAATTTCCGTGTAATCATTCATAATTCAGTGTTTTATATTGTCCGTGTTTTTTCAAGAGAAACATCTAAAACGTCCGGGTTTTTCAACAAATGGTCCGGGTTTTTTGAAGATAATATGAATAAGAAAGAAGACAATATTTGGCTTAAAAACTGACTTTTTTTAGTTTGAAACTGTTATTTAGCGAAGGACAATATTATTAATTCTTAATAAGTCACAAAAACATATTACTATGTTGATCAAATTTAACCCTTTTTTCAATTTAATGATAACTTTCTGTTCTGAAAACATATTCTCTTATACTGAGTTTTTCTGTGCGTACTGTTGTGCGTTTGTTTTTTCTACATTGGCTAGAGGTGTAGGGGGAGGGTTGAGATCTCAAAAAACATGTTTAACTCCGCCGCATTTTTGCGCCTGTCCTAAGTCAGGAGCCTCTGGCCTTTGTTAGTCTTGTATCATTTTTAATTTTAGTTTCCTGTGTATAATTTGGAGTTTAGTATGACGTCCATTATCACTGAACTAGTATACTTATTTGTTTAGGGGCCAGCTGAAGGACGGCTCTGGGTGCGGGAGTTTCTCGCTGCATTGAAGACCCATTGGTGGCCTTCAGCTGTTGTCTACTCTATGGTCGGGTTGTTGTCTCTTTGACACATTCCCCATTTCCATTCTCAATTTTAACATAACCTTGCAGTATTAGGATATATAAGAACTCACTGGGTCCTTTTTAAAACGGTCTCTAGAACCGACAGTACTATTTTATGATTGATATATATATATATATAGCACAGTGACGAAAAAACATAGCAGCAAGAAAACTAAGGAAAATCAGTAAAAAATTAGAAAAATTCAATACAAATCCAAATATTCTACTAAAAGAGGCCTCACCCCCAAACAAATATTACAATAACATTTGAATTGAATGGAATATCTAATAAAAAAAAAAATGAAAACAACACTTTATAAATTTTATGCGTCCGAAGCTTTTTTCTGGATTTACTTTCACCCAGAACGTTCAAAGTAGAATATTTGAAAGCCAAGGATGTATAAGAACCGAAACATTTGAGGACCAAAAGGACCTAAAAAAATATCCAATTCCATCCAAGGTCAACTTTATCTGATAGATTTGAAACCTTAGTTTCTTTATAATTTTTAAATTTATAAACGGACAGTTTTAAATGATTGATTGTTGGCTGCTTAACGTCCAGTGGCAAATATTTCATGCATGTTCAAGACAAGAATCAATTAACAATTAATCCTATAACAGAGGACGTTCGGGATGAAGGTCGGGAAATGTCGGCTGCCTCTGAAAATTAGGGTATATTGGATATGGACAGAAATTTTGCCTTGCAACAGGCCACCTACGTCAAATAGCTGTTGCAAGGGTTCTTAACTTGCAGTGAGTGTGACACTCTCTACACGCCCCATTCTGACCGGACGTGGCTGTGTACTTGAATATCCCGCACAGCCAAACGGACGCCCTACTGTGGCAAGGGTTTAACTGCCGGTCGGAAGAGGACCTAAGTGACCATATTTCTATTCCCCAGTCCCCTTGGAGGTTAACAGTTTTAGAAAGGTTTCTTATAAATCATGTCAGTACCGAAGTACTGGCTACTGAGCTGATGAATAACTAGGGGACTTATCCAATGTATTTAATAAACAACGAAATAAATAATCTGTAAGCTTTAAGACGATGCTTTTGAAATAATTAAAAAAAAAAAAACGAAATGTGCATATAATATGCGTACACCTCACAAACATAATTCTTTTAATTTCTGATGGAAACAAACACCCGGGGAAAAATTTGCCAAATTTATAAAAAAAATTAAAATTGCAAAAAATACCCCCCCCCAAAAAAAAATCAAAAATTTTGGGTGCAAAAATAAAAAAAATAAATTCCCAAAAATAAAAAAAAAAAATATTTTCCAAATTTCTCGAAAATCAAGAAAATTTAAAAAAGGTAATATTTGACAATGCGCAGCAACATTGGTTACCAAATGATGTCGTGGAAGTTCTTCATAAGCAGTATTTTTTTCAATTTTACACCCCGGTATAAAAATGAGAAATGGAACGCTTCATAAGAAATAAATTCGTTATCTTGGTGTAATCAGGGGTGGACGGAATTTTACACCGGTGTTGAAAATGTACACACCCTTCGGCTGCGCCTCAGGGTTTATGAATTTTCCACACCGTTGTAAAATTCTGTACAACCCTGTTTACACCATGATAACTAATATTATCATCAAGACAAACAGAAAATGAAACATTTAGGATGTATTTTCTATAAAAAGAAAACACATATTTACCCGCTTTACGCACTATGTGTATGTACGTCTCAATCCAACATGTCTGAGCTCACATAAAGATTGTTTACATCACGAAATATTTACTGTATGAAATCCATATCGGTACACTTTCATAAAGATATCTGAATGAACGATGCCTTTTTATGAAATGGACGTGTTAATACAGCATTACCAAACTGGTGTAATGCATTGTTCCGTGCTTTGAAAAGTACTTAATTTGAACCTTTTCATTGTTTTTTAAACGTACATGCACTGACATATTACATTTAATGCCATAGGAATTTTTTTTTTTTTTTCACTCGATCCTGTAGTTATTAACTTTGCAAATACCTATCAATTATTTCTTATACGTAGAAAACAAATGATTTTGTAATACTCATCTTCTTATGTGATATAGGTCCTTAGGGGGTCTCCTTCTTTTTGTCCCCCGCGCACGCTTTTGCGGGGGGACATAGAAATACCGGGCGTCCGTCCGTCCATCCGTCCGTCCGTCCGTCCGGTCTTGTTAGCGCTCTCACAGGTACAATTCTTGCCAGATTTTTATAAAACTTATACTATAGGTTAATATCAGCAATATCTCGGACAAGTTCTATAATGGTGGCCGATGGACTTTTTTTAAAAGAGTTATGCCCTTGGAAATATTAAATTTATGGAAAATGGCCTCGTTAGTGCTCTCACGGGTACAATTGTTGCCAAATGTTTATAAAACTTATACTATAGGTTAATATCAGCAATATCTCGGACAAGTTATATAATGGTGGACGATTGACCTTTTTTAAAAGAGCTATGCCCCTTGGAAATATCAAATTTATGGAAAATTGCCTCGTTAGCGCTCTCACGGGTACAATTCTTGCCAGATTTTTATAAAACTTATACTATAGGTTAACATCAGCAAAATCTCGGACAAGTTCTATAATGGTGGACAATTGACTTTTTTTAAAAGAGTTATGCCCCTTGGAAATATTAAATTTATGGAAAATGGCCTCGTTAGCGCTCTCACGGGTACAATTCTTGCCAGATTTTTACTAAATATTATACTATAAATCAGTGCCTAACGACTTATTTTAAAAGGGTAATGCCCTTGGACTTCATAACATTTGACAGATGAAGTATGTGCAACGCGGGGGACATTGGAACTCTTTTCTTTTATTTGAATTGCTCTTCCGTGCTTATAATGTATAAAGACACTGATTGTCGCTGAAAACTTTTATATGTATTCCCTGCTCCGAAGGAGGGGTATACTGTTTAACCTCTGTCTGTTCGTCCGTATGTTCGTCCGTTCGTATGCCCGTCGTCCGTATGTCCGTCCATTAGTATGCCTGTTCGTATGTCCGTCCGTCTCTCCCCGAAATTTGTCAATCTTCATATGAACATGCTATACCGTGTGATCCGGTTTCAGATTCATCGATCGGCAACATTCTGTTTACCGAATACTTGTAATATATTTTTACATATAAAGGCCATGTATGCAATTTTAGTCAATTTTTTCTATGGAACTACCAGTCAGGTTCTACTTCGTCAAAATTATCTCCCCATTACGCCACCTAATGTTTTAATTAGTGAAAATGGAAGCCATTGTAGGGATGACGCATGGTCAATTTAGCTCTTGAAAACCGATAAATGTATCCACAAAGCATCATTACCATTCTTACATGACAGTTGTATTTTTTAAAAAGATCAATGTATCTACTAGCTATTAAGCAGAATCATTTAATATACATTTAGGTATGTTGTTAACATAAAAATATTGTCTGATCGGTTGTCAGGGTGAGTTTTCGAAAGTTCGAGTGTTTTGTGAAAATTTGTCTTTGATATAAAATTTAACATATATCTCGAAACTCTATACTATAATTCAAGTAAAAACACGTTTATAAGATGCAAAAAAAATTATGCGCCTACCTTAAACTTTTAAAGCCAATAAAATCAAATAAAAACAATGCAAGTATACCAAACTGGCCATTTTTACCTTCTCTAATAAAGAGTTCCATTTATTTTGTTTAATTTCAACTTGTACAAATAAGAATTTCTTGATTTTTTTTATCAGTCTTCATATGAACATGCTTTATCGTGTGATGCGATATCAGTTCTATCGATTGTCAACTTCTTGTTGACCGAATACTTTGATATTCTAACATATAACGGTCATGCATAAAATTGTAGTCAGTTTTTTCTAGAGAACTACAAATAAGAGCTTCCTCATATTTGATGTCAGACTTCATGCTTTACCATGTAATACGTTTTCAGATTTATGGCTCATCAACTTCTTATTTATTGAATACTTAATTTTTTTTAACACATAATGTAAGAAATATTCATCAAAATATTAAAGTGGGGGTGTCATTATTGAGCAGAAACTCACAGTTTAACCTTATTTGTCTAATACATGACTAAACATTAAGTGTTACTACCTTTTTGGGTCACAAATATAAACAATGATATGTTACCACGGCATGGTATATAAGGTGACAGTTTTGTTAATGAATATAAATAAGAAGATGTGGTATGAGTGCCAATGAGACAACTCTCCATCCAAGTCACAATGTATAAAAAGTAAATAATTATAGGTCAAAGTACGGCCTTCAACACGGAGCCTTGGCTCACACCGAACAGCAAACTATAAAGGGCCCCACAATGACTAGTGTAAAACAATTCAAACAGGAAAACCAACGGTCTAATCTATATAAAAAAAGAGAAACACTTATGAACCACACAAACAAACGACAACCACTTAACAACAGGCTTCTGACTTAGGACAGGTGCATAAAAATGCAGCGGGTTTAAACGTTTTAACAAGCGCCAACCTTCACCCTAAACTGAAACAGTAGTGTAACATTACAACATAAAACGAGACACATCATAAAATATCAATTGCAATGGCTTAATTCGATCAAAAGAGACATATAAACAAAAACAAGTAAACATACACTGAACGAACAAGTTTGATCTATGACACAATATAGATACAATATTAATAAAAAAAAAGGTGAAGGAACAATGTCAAAAAGACAACTCTAACCTGGGACAAAATGGCGTTAAACAAAATAACGTACACAGGTAAATTTAGATATAATAATTTTGTTGTTAGGAGTACGGAACATTTTTTACAAAATAAATGAATTTGTTGTTCACAGTACGAGTACAGAAGTGAAAATTTATCGTCATACTAAATACTTATCAAAGGTGGTACATATTAAAAATAGTGAGACGAGATATAACACAAAATAAGTAAACATTGAATAAGAGAAATGCATTAAAAATGTGTCAACAGGTCAAATTAACAAGAAAGTACGATTTGAGAGTACTCGCAGTTACTGAACGCTAGTTAAAAGCCAAAAACAATTAAATATAAAAAATCATGCATCAGAGACTAGAATCAATTAAACACATCCCAGGGATTTAGTGTTTTAACGCCATGGACAGTCAAAGATGAATGTGTTTATTATTAATGGAAGGACTGCATTTTCCCCTACAAAATGCAAATTCATATTTTTTGAGAGGGCTCCGAACTTAAACTGTTGAGACATCACCGAAAATACCACTTGCACTGCCTACAAACCCCTTGAGCAATCGGCAGTAGTATATTGATGGATGGAATGATTAAGTATATTTGTGGCGCCATTGGCCATAACATTATAGCAAGAAGAAGATTTTGAAGCTATGAAACTATTAAAAATATATTTTACCTGACAGCGATTATAGTTTGTATCATCTATTTTGTGGGTGTTTTAAACCTTTAGAAGTCTTGGATAAGCTACTAAGTCCTTAGTCAGAGGCCTGTTGTTTAGTGGTTGTCGTTTGTTGGTGTGGTTCATAAGTGTTTCTCGTTTCTCGTTTTTTATATAGATTAGTACGTTGGTTTTCCTGTTTGAATTGTTTTACACTAGTCATTTTGGGGCCCTTTATAGCTTGCTGTTCGGTGTGAGCCGAGGCTCCGTGTTGAAGGCCGTACTTTGACCTATAATTGTTTACTTTTTACACATTGTGACTTGGATGGATAGTTGTCTCATTGGCACTCATACCACATCTTCTTATTTATACCCAGGTGTGAGGGAAAAATTGTCGTTGTTTTCAGTAGTGATTTCTCTAATTTGTATATATTACTATATAACACAATCTAAAAATAAATTTGGTCTTTTTTTTAATCTTGGACCTCCTTTTAAGCATTTATGGAAGATATGTAGTTGATGACACACGGAAACTTCCATCTTTAAGGTATATACATATACTAGACCTTTTCAAGTATATAAATATGATTAATATTACCAAAGAAACAAAACTTGTTGCATAAACTTATCGTTGATCAACGAAACAGGACATGGTCAGATGAACCATGTCAGATGAACATGAACCCCTACCAATTACATGAAATTGCGTACATATCATTGAGATTTGTCTTATTGTGTATCTTTTCAGTATTGAATTCAGAACAGGGATCTGGAACTGAGAACAATGGATACAATGCAATTCCAATTCATTAAGAGTACCACGGCATTTTACAACCATTGTTAAGGAGTAGGAACATTATGACTCCTATTAGGCTTACAATATAGTACAAATGTAAAAGTCAACTCACAAGATTCGAAACCTGAGACAACAATATGTATTTACGAGATTTTAAGCAAAAGGAGAGTTGCACTATGTAGGTTTAGAATATTTTCCAAATGTTTCTTGATTTTAATCAATATTTACGTAGAAATTGAAAACTAAAGGTACAAACAAAACAACTTCATATTTTGTAAACAAAAAAATTTAAATCTTATTATATTTTATTGTTTTACGAATGTTAGTCTTGTATGTTTTTTTTAATTTTTAGTTCCTTTATATGTTTTGGAGTTTAGTGTGACGTCCATTTTCACGGAACCAGTACATTATTTTATTTAGGGGCCAGCTGAGGACCACCTCCGGGTGCGGGATTTTCTCGCTGCGTTGAAGACCCATTGGTGGCCTTCGGTTGTTATCTGCTCTTTGGTAGGATTGTTGTCTCTTTGACATATTTCCCATTTCCATTCTCAATTTTATTTCGGTATTTTCTCAAACCGATAACTCAAGTAAACTCTTTATCATAATTAGTTCTCTAAGTCTTTTTTTGTGAAACTTCATTGTGACAATATAAAGTTATAAGTATGTCTGTTTCTATTTCCTTAATCCTTGCATATCCTTACATAACTTTCTACGTGTACATTCTGTGATTTTTTTTTACATTTTTTACACATCTTCCATATGTTGGGACAGAATGGTCCTAAATTTTTTAAGAACCACTTATTCGGGCATGTCAGAATGAATATACAAGAAAGTAGTTCAAATATTAAAGAAAATGATTCCTACACATAGCTGTAATTTTGTCAGTAAGTAAAATATTTTGGTCATTTTGGTATTACTAGAAAGCTTAAGGATTCAATCACTGTAGAATCCTTGTTGATAGTTTCTTTTGAATAATAGATAAAATCTATGAAATTAGAATAGGAGGCCATATTTGCCGTGTGACCAAGTACAGAAGTACCTGTTTTGGTACTACTAAACTTTCGGGAACCAGTGCGCTTTAAAGGTGTGTTGAATTTTGTATCAATCAATTATAAATATGCAATACTTAAAGGTAAAATGAACCTTGCATGACCACAACGATTAACACAATTTTTACTTATATTTCTATGTGTACGTAAAAGGTTAACCTGGATTGGATATTTCATTTCATTATAATGTATACTCTTTTTTCTTGTGATTATTTCTTTTAACCCAATATTGCATATATTTTATATATTATTTTTCTATATTTATTGCTTCACCATTTTCATATTCATGTACTGGCCCATTGTTCCTACTCATTATATTGTTATATTGTTCACACAGATAGTATATATATATATTGATTTAACCGATCCATGTTCTTATTCTTGAAACAGAGCTTGTTAAAACCACTTCTAAACCTACTAAAGAAAAACACCAAAAAAATGTTATGTTAGGACCAGTTATTGCACCATTGTGTAATTTTTTGTTGTTGTTGCTTACTTGCTGAATAAAAGAACCATTTCAAAACACTTAATGTAAAACTTAATTTATCATCATCGAATGGCAGTTGTTATATATGAAATTTAACTGACATAGACAAAAATTTATACTTTTTGTCAAATTTTAAAATTTTCAAAATTCAACATTAAATTTATATATTCCAAATTTCAAAATGTTCTTTTGAAATTGTTTTATTTAAGCCAAAATGTAAAATAAAATGAAAATATCCAAAATGTAAAATAAAATGAAAATATATGTTAGGATTTATAATTTTGATGTTTTGCACTTAATGTTTTTCGAGTTTGTGTTCGAAATCGAGATAGAGACCGAATTTTGTTGTATTTCGAATTGAAGTTCGAGCTTAAGTTTAAATCAAAATTGTTCTGGATTTTCAAACCTTTGGAACTTATTACAATCAAGTTTAACCAACCATTTTACAACACGCGTAACGTTTATGCCAGGAATGATTGGAAGATGACCATTTAAGCAACACGTTAAAAATCATGCCTTGTTTGTTTAAAAAATCTTGTGCTAAAACAGGAACTTTAATTGATAGTACATAATTTGTCAATATAGATGACATCTGTATTTGATTTCTTCTTGTCGTTGAATGGCTGTTTCATTAACGTAGATAATTTATCCGAGATAATTATATTCTAATGCATTTTTGTCAAGAAATAATGCTAGTTAGACATTTTGTATGTGCATGCTTACTTCATCATGTTCAAATAACAGTTTAAAAGCCCAAAACATCCACCCAAGAGAATATCGTACTACCAAAGTTCACCCTGAAGTACTAGATTAAATCCTGTCATGGAGAAGATTCCAAGAGCGTATAGTGTAAGGTAAATAATTTGTTGAAAAAAAAACAATTATTTTCGAACAGGGGTATTAATGACGAATTCTTTTTTGTACTTTGTCGACTTGATCAATCAAAAGATGTATATTGTTGTCCTATACAACATCAGCATATTAAAATGGTCTTTAGTCTGGATTTGATTATCAGTTGCTATTGGCTTTGAACTAGCTTTCAGTAACTGCGAGTACTCTTAGATCGGTACTTTGGGTCGTTTGTCTTTTTCTAGATTTTTTTTTCAGTTTCATTCCTATCTGTTGAGTCAAGCCCTATCTAACTGATTTTTACAGTTGTTCAAATGTTGTGCTGTTACACCATTGCCTCAGGTCATGGGGAGGTTTGAGCGCCCACAAACAGGTTTAACTTTAAATAAACTTATTCAATAAGGTTTTTTTATTAGCTATTATTGGCTTTGAACTAGCTGTCAGTAACTGCGAGTACTCTCAGATCTATACTTAGTGTCTTTTTGTTGTGGGGATGTTTAAGTACCCTGCCACGTCCACTCTGTTTTTGTTAGATGTTTTTTTTTTTTGTATCCATCTAATGAGTTAAGCCTTTGTCAGTGTTTGTTTGTTTGTTTTTTTGTTTCTGTATAGCATATTTGTTGTTCGTTTATTGTTTTGTATAGTTTGTTCTTGTGCTGTTTCATCACTTTCCCAGGTTAGGGGTGGGTTGGGCGCCCGCCAAACATGTTTAACCCCGCCACATTCTGTATGTGCCTGTCCCAAGTCAGGAGCCTGTAATTCAGTGGTTGTCGTTTGTTTCTGTGTATCATATTTGTTTTTCGTTCATTATTTTGTACATAAATTAGGCCGTTAGTTTTCTCGTTTGAATTGTTTTACATTCGTCATTTCGGGGCCTTTTATAGCTGACTATGCGGTATGGGTTTTGCTCATTGTTGACCTATAGTTGTTAATTTTTGTGTCATTTGGTCTCTCGCGTTGGCAATTATACCTAATCTTGTTATTTTTATATTAACCTCATAACATTCTGTATGTGCCTTTCCTTATTCAGGGGTTTGTGTTTCAGTGGTTGTTACTTGTTGCTATATGTAAAAAAAAGATGTGGTATGATTGCCAACGAGACAACTCTCCTCAAGAGATCAAATGATATGTCTGTTATATCTGGTTTTTTTTTTTATCCTTGTTCCGAAGGAAGGGGCGCACTGTTTTACCCCTGTCTGTCTGTGTGTCTGTGCGTCCGTCTAATGAAATTTCGTCGCAATTTTCTAAGGAACTACAAATAAGTTCTCCCTGAAATTTGATTTCAGTCTTCATGTGAATACGCTGTACTGTATATAAATATAAACTCATCATAGATACCAGGATTAAAATTTTGTACGCGAGACGCTCGTTTTGTATACAAAAGACTCATCAGTGACGCTGTGTGATGCGGTTTCAGATCCATCGATTGACAAATGCTGATATATTCTAATAGATAATAGCCATGTATGAAATTGTTGTCGCATTTTTTTCTAGGGAACTACAAATGAGAGCTTCATGAAATTTGAAAATTTTAAATTCAGAATCAACGGACCATCTCGGCCATGTTGTCGAATGTAGAGATCTTTTCCTGCAGTTATTTTTTTCAATTTCAATTCTCTCTTTATCCATTATAGTATGCAAGATAGCAATCAAACACAATCAAGTACGCAAAAATATTGAAAACATTCGTCATTTAGGAGCTTTCACTGCTATAGCGAGTCGGCCTGGGATTTCGAAAACTCATCTTTTCTAGATGATAGACACCATTTGCATTTTACTCCTAGGTTCTGTTTTTAGCTATGTCGGCTATGTTGCTTAGGAGGCAGGATCATGAGACACAATTCTTAAACTAGATACTCCATTTGAAGGATGATCGGAGCCAAGTATGGTTCCAATTGGCCCAATAGTTTCAGAGGACACGATTTTTGTAATAGTAAAAGGACGACGACGGACGGCGAGGGTTGATGGACGACGGACGCAAGGTGATAATAATAGCTCACCTGACCCTTTGGATAAGGCGAGCTAAAAATAAACAAAAAAACTTACAATGAATAAACAAAGAAAAATAAGAAAAAGGCAGAACGGTTTACTTTGAGAATAAAATCTTGTGACTGTTAAATAAATCAACGAACTTATTCGAAAAAAAATGAAATAGTTGCGTTATTATATGCAAAATTTTTAAACAATAAAGTTTCAATACCATGTAATTTATGCAGGTCAACATTACGAGAACGGTACTGGTTCATTAGCATGCATGCATGATGTAAAATTTCATGAATGTTTTATGTTCCCGTCGAAAAGGGAAGTACTATGGTATACCATTCTCTGTCCGTCTGTCAATCCACCCGTCCATTCGTCCGTCCATCTGTCCGTCAACACTTCGTGAAAAAAAACTAAAATTTGCTTTACTGATTCTCATGATATTTCAAGACAACATGAGTGTTGACAGAAGAAAGCTGTCTTCGATTTTGAATTTTTAGGCTTTCTCGTTCCAGGAATTTTACTTTTTGAATTAGGGCAATTTTTTTATCCATTATGCATGGATTGATTTCCTAAAAACTTTACATTTTTGTCGGGATCGATATATGGAAGCTCCCAATTAGGCAGTGTAGTTTATGTCATTCATTGTATCGCGAATGAATATACAAGATTCAACCAAAGCCTGTTGATCCTACGTTACTTACGAAAGTAATCTATCAAAAGTCCCTTTATATAATTATGTTTTTACACACTCTAAAAACGATAAAAGTTCACAAATATCATCATTTTTAGGGCAATACTCACAAAGTATTTGTTCAGTAGAAATCGCCTGATATTTTATCTGATTTACAGTGATGTTTGAGTTTACAAGCATTTTTTGCTCCTGTTTAATTTACCCGATCGACTACGTATATACATGCATAGATTAAATCATATAAGGAAATAAACCGCAATGTACCTCATTCATTCAAACTTAAAAACACTAAGAATGATTAATGACAAGTGTGGTTTCAATTGATTTTCTGGCATAAGAGGGGGATTTCTTTGAGACAAAAATTCCAATTGTTGGTGAAATAATATTATCTAAGGATACAAACTACTGTCAACTTTTAATAAAAAGCTAATAAGAAATACGAGTAAGTTAAATTATGCTTTAATTAATATGATTTTTTTCTAATATCATGTGCTTATATTTCATTAGTGTAAATCTGGTATACAATGTTCAATTGGAAATACCAAAAATTAGCTAAAATGTCATGCACAGTTGAAGACATCAATATTTAGATATCTTTATTTTGATTTCTGTAGTCCACGCACTGCTCTGTGATAGTCCAGGAAATTATGTATATTTCTTTTTGCTTCTGAAAAATTGAATAAAACATTATCCTAAATGTCGTAGTGTTCAAAGAATGCAATAAGACTTATAGCTAAATACAGGCGTTGCTGATGGTAGGAAGTCGATATAGTCGATTTTTAAATTCTGAATGGAATCAGAAAACTAGAACATGTGGATTTGCATTGATATTGGGAACATCTTTTATAACATATAACGATCGATCGATTGGTGTTTAATGCCACTTTCAACACTATTGCGCTATTTCGTGGCGGTCAGTTTTTATAGGTAGAGGAATAACATATAACGAGTTTAAAAAAACTCAAATATGGAATTAAAGTTGTGATGTATTCTTTTATATTGAAGGTTTGAAAGACCAACATGTTTACTTTATTAATTGACATATGCTGTGAAATACTTTCAGTAACTGCATGACTCTTAAATTGGTACCTTGTGTCTGTTTTCTTTGGTAATAGTGTTTGTTTTTTTTTCTTTCGTGCCGATCTGATGAGTCAAAACATGGTATGTTAAACTTAGCCACATTCTGTATGTACCTATCCAAATTCAAAGGCTTATAATGCATTGGTTGTCATTGGTTGCTGTCTGTCACACTTGTTTTTTTCTCTTTCTGTTGTTGTAGCATAAAGCAGGCCATGAATTTTGAATTGTTTCACTTTATGTCTTATTGGGATCTTTTATAGGTTACTATACGGTATGAGTTTTTTTCATTGTTGAAGGCAGTTGTTCGGTGTCCTTTATTTGTTTACATCTATTACATTTGAACTCTGGTATGATAGTTGTCTTATTTGCAATGATTCATTTCTATTCTCCTTGAATATTTACCCTTGCAGCTATCTTCATCTTCATCAGATTTATCATCACAGTCTGCTTCTTTGTCACAGAGGTAAGATTTAAAAATGCATTGTAATCCATTTTTACATTTAACCTCATAAGGCTGACATTGTTTAGCTACATTAGAATAAGTTATAACAATAAATCATCAACGAATAACTTAAAACGGTACTGGACAGATTTACTTCATCCTCTCAATAGCATTTTATAGACAAATGGGGACCATAGCTACACATATCTTGTATCTGATCATGAAAACGTTTACTTTGTTATGAATCACACTGATTCCAACAACAACTACACAGAAGATGACATCATCAAAATGCTGAACTTTTTGATCGACAACACCAACGAACATAGTTGTTGATTTTGATGGATTAATATTTCAGCAAACAGTTGGTATTCAAATGGGTACTAATTGTGCACCACTACTAGCCGACTTGTTTTTTATAGAAGTCATCACGCTTACTGGAATACTCGATTTCTAGTTTGTCTCAATATTTACATTCGTTTTTCCCATGATGTTGTTGGTTTCTTCTCGACATATTAGGTTTGAATGTCCCTTCGGTATATTCCGCTATTTATTTTAGTTATAGAATAACTACATGTGAAGGGCATATTTGTCTGCATAGACTACTATGACAGTTATGCGAAATACGCAAATTCTTGTAAAGAGTGTTCGTTTCCAAGACCTTGCTGATAAATATTCCGTATCAACTTCACAAATAATACATGATGGTCTTGAAGTATAGATTCTAGGTACTGACGTTGTATCATCTTAATTACGTGTTTAAGTCCCCCTGTTTTGTCCTTGTATATTTTTAACCTTTACTGCTTATCCATTTTTGGTAATTTAACTATGACGTGGGTCGGTATTTATACATGTACATTCTGCCATTGTGTTATTGTGCTATGGTCAATTTTGGTCAATTTTGAGTTCTTGTCTTTCATTTTTGCTTATGTACTTTGCCTATATGCCATTTTGTGTTTCTTGGTTGAAACAGTTATTTGTTTTAATAGTGATTAAGATTATATTACAATGTTGACTGCTGTACCGCGATTTTTGATGTTTTTACCTATAATGTCTGTTTGTTTTGCTCACACATTGTTGTCAATATAATGGAATTCTGTGCGACTGTCATACAAGTGAGAGCTTTATCTAGCTATAAAACCAGGGTTAACCCACCATTTTTTCTTAAAATGTCCTGTACCAAGTCAGGGATATGGCAGTTGTTATCAGACAGTCTGTTTCTATGTATGTTGGCGTTTGCTTTTGTTGTGGTTCGGTGTTTCTGTTGTTCCGTTGTTTTCCTCTTGTGGTTGGTGTTTCCCTCGGTTTTAGTTTGTTACCCGGATTTGTGTTTGCTTGGTCGAGTTATGGCTGTTGGACGGTGGTATACTACTGTTGCCTTTATAGATTATTTTGTGTGCTTGTTTGAATTCGTCAGTCAGTTGTGGTGTAAATCTATGATGTACGTTTACACATTGTTAACTGCTTGATCCCAATTATTGTCACATTAACCTAATATGTCTGTTTGGGTTGCTTACCCTATTTTCAATATGACGGAACTATAAGAAACTGTCTTACAAGTGGGAGGTTTAGCTAGCCATAAAACCAGGTTTAATCCATCATTTTCTACAAAAGGAAATGCTTGTACTAAGTCAGTAATATGACAGTTGTTTTCCATTCGTTAGATGTGTTTGAGCTTTTTATTTTGCCATTTTATAAAGGACTTTCCGTTTTGAATTTCCCATGGAGTTCAGTATTTTTGTTATTTTACTTTTTCTGTATATTAAGTCCCATTCCTGGTGATAGTGTAATTTCAGATACACGTGTTGACCGAAAGAAATGACAACTTTGTTGTTTTCACGTTTAAATAAAAAAATAAATTAGTTTGTTCTGCATAACGCTAACACTTTAAATAATTAAAACCCTTGTCACAAGCAGAAAGGAGATAACATTTTTTTTATATTCAAGCAATTTCTGTTTTATCCTTCAAATGTTTTACTTTGATTGAATTAAGATACATGTACATCAGGAAATATGTGAATCAAACACATTTCAATTTAATATACAGTCAACCCTGTATAGAAAGATTACCAGTCCACAGGAAATTATCTTATAAAAAAGGTGGCTTTGAATCAAGGTTCCATATGCAATGGTATTTCTACAGCGGGAGAAGAAGAAGTTGACCTCACAAAAAGTAAAATAACAAAAGTAACAAACTCCAAGGAAAATTAAAAATAAACATGTTTTCGTTAAATAGAGGCGAACCTTTTAGAAGGTTTGACTGTACTTGCTATAATGTTTTCGTTCGGTGGGAGTTTTGCATGGTCATCTCAAATGTCAATTCGAAATGTATTTATCTTATACATTTTTGGTTTCTACATTCTGTCCTAAAGCACACACTCCAAGTATATATACAATATTAAGTCAGTGTCAGAAAAATATCGACTTTTTTGTATGAGGCTAAGAAACTGGCGATGTTTACCGAGATCTTCAACTGTTTCGTGCCAAATACAAAAAAAAACAAAATATTTTTCTAAAAACTAATATTGCTATATACTACAGCTAAAATGGCTACGTTACAATCAATTACAGTTATGAACAATAACAAGTATTCTCTATCCCTAAACGAACACCAAAGTGTCAAGAAAAGTGAAATCAGCATTGCACGAAATATCATTTTGTTACTATATTTGGCAGATATAAAGACATCAGTAAGTGTTCTAGCTGCAGTATTATCAATATGAGGAATCTTTGATTTATGTCTTCTAAATGGAATTATAAGATTTGAACATTGTGCCTTTAATCAAAGCGGTCTCACAAGACGGTGTAGCTGCAATATCATAATGATGTTTTGTATGTTTTGCTTTCACCCTTGATAGCTAAAATGTTCTGAAATCGGTATAATAAAAGTAAAGATAAGCTTTGCCTCCTTTGGGAAATATGAGGTCTATATGTATATAGTTATAATAGAATAGATAACTTTCAAGTATAACAATAACTGTTTAAGATTTACCTCCACACATGTTTACGTCTTCGTCTGACTTATCTGGACAATGAACAAGACCATCACATTGGTACCTTGGATTAACACAGTGTACTCCATTCTTACATCTTACTTCCCCTTTGGGACATTCCGGTGCGTTGGCTATAACGAAAGTAATCAATGAACAGAAAATACAAAAAAAAATCTACCGGCCATTTATACCTAAATGTAATCGTTACAAATTTTCTATACTGCATTTCTTTTTTTCTCTCTCTTTGAGGAATTTTCTTTATCTATTCAATCAAACGTATTGCCAAATATCTAGAAGAACAGTTTAGACGGAAGCGACCAAAGATAACAGCCAAACAAATGGAAACAAAGCATCATTTAGATGAGAGTAAATAAGAAGTGTGTCCCTTCAGGGCTATAGTAAGTTTCAAAGCACTTTCAAAACGTAAAAGTTTTTAAGAATTACAACAACAAAATAAATGTGCTGAACAATGATTCCGAAGTTTATGCTACCCAATGAAATATAAATATTCAAACAACAAATTGAACAAAACAAGCGACTCGCTTATTTTTCAAGAATTTATTAAATGATCAAGCATGATTCTAAATATTTGAAGCTTTTGTTTGACCTTAGACAGCTACATGAGATTTGTAAATTTTGTAAATTTTTTTTTAATTGATAGATATTTTTTGTAACTTCTTAATAATTTGTACAGCAAGCAATGTTGGTGAATCGATGCAAACATCGCTTTTTTCCCTAAGAAAGTGTGGACAGCCATTTTTATACCGGATATGCATGATAGAGAAATGAAGAAAACTATATTTGATTTTACGAAAAGTCAACCTAACAATACAAATATTTTTTTTAATGAACATAAACATCCTTGTCGTGTTTAAGAATACTTTTTTAATTGCTTCATTTACTTTGAGAGTACTTGATTAGGACTTCTCTGTTGAGCACCAGTAAGACTAATGCTGAATGAAAGTCCGTTTTATATTGCAGATTAAAGATAAAGAACAAATATCTAATTCATTATTTTATTGCTATAAAAAGTCACCGACAACGTATTATTGGCTCGTTTGAGTACGAATTTCAAAAGTTTAACAACAAATACAGAAACATAAGTAAAGTTGTACATCATGAATATATTGAAAATAAATTACCTCTACAAAACTCTGGGTCAATATCTGACCGATCGTGACAGAAGGAATCTTCTGTTCCTGCACATAGGAAATTAATGCGAAAACATTGCAAGTTGTCTCTACATTTAATATAGCCACTTGGACACTGGAAATCTGTAATTCATAATTCGAAATATATCAGGTAAAACAATATCATGTTCTGTGAAAATGGTTTTGAAGAATTTTTGTTCAATGATTGTCTTTATTATTACTATATTTTTTGGTTAAGATTTTTAACGAAAATCTACGGTTACATTATAGCTCTTTTGAAATAAAAGTATATTAATGATAAAACCTGAACTCAAATAAAGTTTTATCTAGCACATATTTCCACTTTGCCAGATCTTTATAATGACAAAGCTAAATTTACAACATAAACTTACTTGCGGATGATATAAAAATCATTTCAAGAGCTTGAAAAAGTTGAGAAAGAAGCGTACTTCAAGTATTTTCACTTGACGAAATTACAAACAAATTCTTTTCCAACAACGTTCTTGTGTTGTTTAAATGACAATTTGAAAAAAAAACTTAAAAGCGGAGTAACATCAATTAAAAAATATATTAAAAACTCAAACGTGTCAACTTTGCTTGTTTGTTCTCGCTGACGGGTGTCACTAGTGTAGCAGATGCAGTCGAACCTTCCTGCTTTTTGGTTAGGTTCGTGTTGCTTATTCTTCAATTTTCTTTGCACTATATTCGTCGCGTTTTTCTCGTTTGTCTTATTTTCACACTGTGGTCTTTTTTCTAAAGCGTGATTGCTTCTGATTGTCTTCGCGATTTTTTTGCGAAGAATAAACATTTTTTTTTATGAAAATATATGATTACAAGGTTATAGAATATCACTAGCGACACTAACGACATGTTTTTGTGGTATAACTCTTCAGATATCAGTAAAGTCGTTTGATCTGTAATTTTACCGATTGCGTCCTCTTCCTGATTCTGACATTTAGACGGAGTTGGGATTCGCATAGCGGGTGATGCTTGCATACCAGAAAAAGTTTATTCTGTCAACGCACCCGGTCTTGTTCCTTTTGGATGTCATGGGATTCTTTCATTTTTTGTTTGTGACCTTGATTTGTCTCTTTTTAATCGATTTACGAGATTTGAACATCGGTAAACTACTGTCGCCTTAATCTCATACTATTTTTTTGTTAACTTAGTGTAAGTAGTATAACATATATATGATCACTTCCGGATAAAGTTTTTTAAAAAGTGCATGTCGAGAATTTATTTATGAATTACCTTTGCAGATTTCTGGATCTTCATCAGATTCATCGTTACAATTTTTATATCCATTGCATAGAGAATCTCGACTTACACATTCTATGTTATTTTTACATTTCAAAGCCCCACTTGAACAGTTGAAATCTGCAATTGATTAACAAATAAGACACCAAAAAAGGAATACGGATAATTTAGTACGTTAAATATTATCGAATAATCTATTTACATACGAGTGCATCCCTGCGGTTAAGACGCAAGTTGTCGAAATCAAAAATTTTAGTAAAGAGTCCACAATCGAGGCTTTGGTGTGTAACAACAATACATTTTATGTTTTCAATGAAAAGGAAATTACAATTGGAAAACTTGTCGTTCGAGAGCAAGTACGCATACAAGGAGTCAGAAGGTGGTTTTAATCATTTTTGTATGTAGTCAATCTTGTATTGCTATTTGATTTTCCAGTTTCCTTCAATCTATTTTAGTTTCAAGGTAACAGACAAAGATTTTCAAAGAGGTCAATAAAACATTTTGTAAAAGGACAATAATTTCATCAGGAGTCATCTATTTTTGGTAGAAATAGAATGTATTCCGCTGATTGGACAACAATATGTTTATGAAGACGACATAGGTTGTCACTAGTATCCAATCATTTTACTCATTGGACAAAAGTTAAAGCTTCGATGCTTAAACAATGTATTGTTGTAACGGTTACACATGGAAGATTCGTCGTAGATTTGAAATCTGATTTAGAATAACCTGGTGTCAGTTTGCTTTGAAACCAATGATGTGCAATCGAGTGTAAATGAGATTGTTCAGGAATTAAACTCTAATTTAAAAAAAATCAAAAAAAAAGAACAAAAATATGGAAGAATGAAACAATATCAAAAACTAATTCACAATACAAAACAAAAAAACGTATATTCTGAACAAGAATAGAATTTTCTTCAAAAGACTTACCATAATAGTTTTGTTCATGATCTTTTACAGTAATGATTTGCTTGAATTCAATCTCCAAATTAGCGATATAATAGCGTACTATGCTTATTCTTTATTATAAGTGATCGCTATTGAGCATATAAAGTACAAACTATATATATAATGTTTGGTTTAAAAGATTATATCTTCAAAGCAATATCAATTCAGTTACGATGTTAGAAAATGAAGTGATCCACAGTATAGATACTTTACCAATATTTAAACAACGCTTTGTGCTTAACAGTGCGCTATTGTAACTGAGTTTCATAACCATACAGCCTCATAATCTTCCTTACTTGGCGACCTTTTTAAACGGTATTATTATAACGAAAAATTTCAGCATTTTCTAAAAGAAGAACTTCAATGATTAAATCTTAGGACACGTTTTAATTCTTGTAATGTTGTTGAAATAAAAAGAAAAAGAAGTTCAAAATATTTTTCTCTGTCCACATTTAGTTATTTTTTCCAATCGACTTTTTGTATTATTTACTACTTGTTCTTCGGTGATTCAATAAATTGAGACGCTAGACAGTAACCACTGGGCGTAGTCCAGTGGACCACAAAGATGATACGTGTCCAGTTTACAAGACATTACTTTTGCAGAATTCAGGATCTTCATCAGATTGATCTTCACAATGGACATATCCATTACATAGTCCACCCCTTGGAATACATTGCACGTTATCCTTGCATTTTGTCCCACCATTTTCACAATTGTTTTCTGCAACTGACAAACAATCAGGCCATTTTAAGTGAAAATAAATAAAACTTTTCCGAGAAAACCAATACATTGTTTGAATTTTCAAACAAATAAATTGAATTGGTTTTTATTTTGAAAACATATCATTTGTGTTTTCCAGCACAACGTTTTATTTGATCGATTATATCTAATATCTTTGCATCTTTGGAAGACTCAGGATGCATTTTGTTAAGCCACCTGTATATTGTTGAAAAATGTATTTTGCATTCTTAGTGTTTTTTTGTTTTTGTTTTTTGTCATTTTATCTTTAGCTTGCTGTTTCATTGATGAATATATCCAACATCGCCTATAATTCATAGTTGATTTTTTAATTGATTTTCGGATGTGTCCAAAGATTAAATTATGGAATCAAGATGTAGTAGATGCGGGATATATATTCCACATATTATTGTTTAAACTGAAAACTTTGTGACAAAGTCGTTGCTAGGGCAAAAACAACGTCAATATTTACTGTAAAAAATGAAAACAACACGTTAAAAATTTGATGCGTCCGAAGTGCTTTTCTGGATTTACCTTCATCAGGAACGCTCAAAGCCGAATATTTGAAAGTCAAGGATGTATAAAGACCGAAAACTTTGCAGAGCATAAACCAAAAAGGATCTAAAAAATAGCCAAATCCATCTAAGGCCAACTTTGCTTGAGGGAGTTGAAACCTTAGTTTCAGTATAATTTCAAAATTTATAAACGGGCAAATTTAGATAGTTTGATATAAATCATGTCAGTACCGGAGTACTGACTACTGAGCTGATGATACCCTCGGGGACTGATAGTCCACCAGCAGAGTTATCGACTAAGTGCTGTAAAAATTCCATGATAATGTTAAAGAATTGGTAATGAAAGAAAACAATTTGCATGAGCTTTGAATTGTAAGTAAGACACATTTGAAGTTGTTCTATATCATTTTATATCTTTCACTGTTTGAAGAAATATTATGTGTTTGTGCTATATTCTAAGTTGCTGCTGAAATTCTAAGTTATTTAAGACAATGACAATTATGATAAGGTAAAAAAAGTTCATGTTATCGCTTCGGCCGCACAAAAATTTATAAAATGTTATTTTCATTTACTATAAGTACAAATGTAACTAGAAATGGGTGTATACCACTGCTGGTTGACTGAAAGTCCCCAGGGTATTATCATCTCAGTAGTCAGTACTTGAATACTGACATAATTTTCCACATTTGTTTTTAAAATTCCTCGTTGCTGAAATAATGAAGTATTTATAAACAAAAGTTTTAACTCACTCAGACATAGTTGACCTTAGCTGAGTTGTTCAATCTTTTAATGTCACTTTTGATAAATTTTTTCCGTACGTTTTATACATCACTGGCTTTGGGTTTGAGTGTTCATGATGAAGGTTAACCCAGAAAAACGTTTCCAACGCACTAAATATACAAAGTTTATTTTCCTTATCGTTGTACAATGTATCCTGATCGAAAGCTATCAATGAAATGAACCTTATATGATCAGATATACATAAATTTCCCCAACTTCGCACTTTTTTTGCCCTTTTAACTTTTTTTAATCGAATGCCACTGGTGAGTCTTTTGTAGACGAAACTCGCATCTGGCGTACCCAACAATCAGCCAGGTATCTTTGATAAATTATATATAATACAATGAATCGTTAAAACTTCAAAAGATATAAAGTAATTTAATCTTTATCACATGCTTACCTGATATTGAAAATGCTGTGCAGAATGCATTCACAAAGATTGTCAACGGAAGATAATTCATTTTGTCCTGTCTAAAAAAAATATGTTTTACAACAATGACACAGACTTATGATTCAATGTGTGTACTCTATATAACTAGACAAAAACAGTTAATCTGACACTATTATGAGATACCTTCGCCTTGTCCTTGTTCGTTATTGCTTCGAACAAGGAAGATATGATAATCGTATTAATTTCTGATTCTTGGGTAAATTTTAATTTTTTGGAACATTACTTATTGGAAAAGTCTTTGTAATTTGTGATGCATGTATATAAAAAAAAAATATGGCATGATTGCCAATGAAACAAATATCCACCAAAGTTTAAATGAAGTGGATGTAAGCAATTGTAGGCAACCATACGGCCTTCAACAACGAGAAAAACCAAAACCGTATAGCATGCTATAAATGGCCCCGACAGCAATTTTACGATAATCAAATATGACGGACATGAACCAACGACAACCACTGAACTACAGACTCCTGACTTTGGACTGGCACATCTAGAATGTGGCTGGGTTAAACATATTTGTATGCGCATACCCCCACCCCTGACCTGGGACAATGGTGCCACAGCACAATATAAGAACAAACTATGAAAGCAGTTGAAAAGGGCTGAACTCATCAGATCGAGACAAAGCAGAAAAACATCTCACAAAAACACAGACCGTAGTTTGCAGGATGCTTATACATCCCTAACAAAAAAAAGACACAAAGAACAGATCCGAGAGTACTTGCAGTTACTGACAGCTAGTTTGAAACCAATAACAAGTAATTAAAAAAATCATGTGCTAAGACTTAACTATCAATCAGTACACATCCAACATCTAATAGATTTAGTGTCGAGACTTCATCAACAGTCAGAGAAACAATGCCAAAATATAGGTATCGACAGATTGTAGTACCGTGAAAGTGCATATGATAATATTTAGTTTGGTTTTAATAGACTGATAACAAAATCAATATTTATACCAATAAAAACAATATTCAAAGATCTAATTACAGTGTTGAATTAGTAACCTTTAAGAATAAGTATATTTAAAGGATTGATAAGATTTGTTCCAATTGGATTAATTGTCGTCAAAGAGAATTTAAAAAAGATTCCCTTATTCTTTAAATATTATTCATTTATTCATCTAGTTTTTATCTTTTTTAAATTTTGGACCTTCTGTAAAAATTCATAATATTCAAACAGACTACATTACTGGAAATATCTGCACATCAAATATTGCACCTGTATATTCATAAAAATAATATAACCTTAACAAACGTCCGATTAAACTATGTAAAAGATCAACGAAATGTAATAATTTATTAAAGCTCAATAACGATTTCCATTTACATTTGTAAGTCGATATTGTTATTAAGATATACTTTTTTCTCATTAAAAATGTTTCTAATATTATATAGCTGTTAAAACAGTAACTGGTCTTTTAAAATCATTGAAATTAAAACATTCTTGTGAATTTTCATCCGATTTAAGATACCATTCTATATAATAATCTTACCTGAGACAAATATGTTCATATAATAGCCATGAAAGACCCTAGTCCTAAGTATTTATACTATTTCAATAGTACATATGACATTTGTCGTTTAATTTTAGTGTCAGTCTCACTGTTATATTCGACAACAAACCTAATTTCAGACAATTATTAAATATTCGTGAGTAATTGTATTTTATTTTTTCACAAAATGGCCAATTTCATACAATAGATTACAGTTGTACAAAGTTCAAATCTTAAAAAGCTCAATTTTAAACTAGTCATCAAATTAGTAAGCAGTTGTCTGTACAATTTGAAAGTTATTACCCAAATAATTTATTATAAATTTTACTCAGCTGAAAAACTAAGTAAAGTACTAAAAACGTTTTTTCTTTCGTTTCGGAACATTTAATAATCCTTTGAATCCTGAGTTTAATTCGATTTATGAGGATAGTTAACCAAGTATTTATCATTATGATAGAAAAACAAAGGATATGGTATCTTTTATGTCTGTTTGTTTTGTTCACACATTGTTGTCAATATAATGGAATTTTATGCGACTGTCATACAAGTGAGAGGTTTAGCTAGCTATAAACCAGCACCATTTTCTACATAAAAAAATGTCTGTACCAAGTCAGGATTATGACAATTGTTATCTATTCGTTTGATGTGTTTGAGCTTTTGATTTTGCCATTTAATTAGGAACTTTCCGTGTTGAATTTTCCTCGGATTTCAGGATGTTTGTTATTTTACTTTTTATCCATCCATGACACAAAATCAGTACATGCACAGCAAAAAAACACATAAAAAGCAGAAGAACAGCCCTTTTATTGCTATTCTTCATTTCAAAGTCATACATGTTACAGATAATAAAACATGATGCCTTTAGCATAATATTACATTCATTTCATTTTGTGTCTTAACAATTTTAAAGTAATATAAATATTTTTTTCGTTGGAAAGGGTGTTTGATTATAAGTTCTTTAGGGAACTTGTTGAAATAACAGAAATTTCAGTTGTTTAACATTTACTAGAAACCGAGATAAAACTATATTTGCCGGAGTATTTTTTTTTTTTTTTTTTTTTTGCAGTTTGGGTAGCCCATCCATAGTAAGTACCGTCAAAAGTTCAATGGAGGACTTAAGCTGAGATGTGGTAAATATATGAGTTTACAATTCTCTCTCTCTCTCTCTTTACCTTACTATTTATCAATGTCTTATTAGAATTTATAATTATCGAAAATGAAAGCAAAGATAAGTACTAGTTATATGGTATAAGATTTCCGATCTTTCTTTTTTTTTTATTTTCAAATACACGGTGTTCTTTTTGGGATGATAATGACTTGTTTTCCCATAGTGTTTATTTGATTGCTAAGTTTCCGTTTTGCATATGATTTCAGAGATATTAAGAATTTGGAAAGGGAACTATTGAAAGGACATAATTTAATGAGCTAAAAATGTTCCATATATATTTTATAAAAGAGAAGCGAAACATATCAGTGGGATACTCAAACTAATAAGTCGAAAACAAACTGACAAATGCATTTCAAAAACCGAAAAGCGACAAACAGTTAACAAAACACAACATAAAAAACTTAACACTGCGCAACACAAACCCCATTAAAACCAGGGGTGGTCGCTGATCCTGCTCGACATGGGGCACCCGTCGTGTTGCTCATGCAAGTACAAAACCGATGATAAGTCTAATTCAGTAGGTCACATTCAAGACAAATAGGACGGGATTATGGTTACGACAATTTAATTGAAATCTGTTGTTATAAAATTTTGGAAGTTATTTAAAATTAACGAATATACTTTCCTCGTACAAAGCTCTTGTTCTTTGTTCGGGTTTGACTATTCTTTAGGTTCATTTTGATTAGATTTGATCATCAAAGTTTATATTAATGTTTTGGTTTTCAATGTTCATGGCTTTCAGCATCAATGAGGACATTACTTGTCAAAATGCGCATCTGGTGCAATAAAATTAGTACCATTTATGTTATTGGAACATATCTGTCGTCATCTGTGAAACAGATATCATATGACGTCATCCATCTCATGATGGCGTCCGTAAAATTTTCGAATGGATTATTTCAACTTCACCACTTGGAACTCTTGATTGAATAGCTGTCTTGTAATTAGCAACTCTCTTTCTAAAAATCATGATACGAAGTGCTAGCTCTGGGATATCGTATCAACTGGGCGATATATAATCCATATACAGGCGCTTCTGGAATAACAGATATAATATCACTTGTGGTGACAACAGAATTAAAACACTGCAAATTTGTGTACCAAAACATTGAGAGAACGAGTAACTACGTATTGTTCTGGTTTGTTTATGCTTTAAACATTTTAAAATGGATAAAGTCGATAAACACGTATTATTAAAATAAATGTTATTAATATTCTATTTCTCATGTTAGTGACCTAATATATTGGAGAGAACCAATATACGTTACAAAGAAGGATACACATACATTTTGTCGTTGTTTCCATACGTAAATGTTAAAAACTAATAACAAAACAGTCGTTCTTATCCCTTATCCTTATGTGCTTTGATCAACTTTAAAGGGGAGAAGATTATAAGTCTTTTGCTCTATTCTCATCACTTCTGATATCTGTATCATGTTTTAATATCTGTATGAATCACTACTTCTCTGTGCAAAAGTTACTAAATTTTCATAATGAAAACACCTGTATATCGGTTCATATATTACTTCCATATATATTTCGCATCTGTCCTCGGTCACTGAATTCCCCTTTATTGCACAACTGTAATAGCAATCTCAATAATTCTTACATCACTGGTTCCAAATTATTTAGTCATCAAAATGATTTGGATTCAGCTATTGCTAATTGATCGCTTTATTGAAATAAGGAAAGAAATGTAAAAGTAGTCGGCTATACAATTTATCTTTTAGTCAATGCAATGCATCAGGGGTATCGTTTTAATGTTATCTTATAATGTTTCCCGTATTAAAAATCTTTTTCAAAAGTATGGCTCCAAATAAAACTGATCCCATAGCGGTCATCAGATTATGAGCAAATGTAATATATTATTAAGCCTGTTTATAACATCTTTACACTAAATGCGTGGGCGATGTACTTATTCATGATTTATTCTTGGAAGACATGATTTTAGTATTAGTTGTAATTAGCTTTGAACTACTTTTTCAGAAAATGCGAGAACTCTTAGATCGGTGCTTTGTGTCCTTTTAATTTGTGGTATATGCTTTTATGCTTCGTGTAAATCTGATGCGACAACCTTTCACAACTGATTTTAACAGTTTATGTTTATTTATGTTGTGCTGTTACTGCACTGTCCCAGGTTGGAGAGGATTGAGCACTTACAAATATGTTAACCCTGCGACTTCTATGTCTCCCAATTTGAGGCTTTAATGTAGTGAATGTCCTTGATTGCTGTCTTCTATAGATATTTTCGTTTAATGTCTTTGACTTCAGATTTAATCGGATTGTTAGTTTCTTTTTGAAACTGTTTCTATTCTGCACGCCAGAGACTTTTTTAGTTTACTATACGGTATTGGTTTCGCAACTGATGAAGGCCGTACGATGAAATCTCCTTGTCCATTGTCTTGTCCTTTGGTCCCTTATAGATAGTTACTCCATTGAAAATCGTATCACATCCCCTACTTCATACAGATATTTAGTTGTGTCGTACTTCCATGTACAGTCCCATTTTTCATTCTTGGAATTGGATAATTCCATATCCTTTGCTAAACATTGTCATACACGTGTATAACACGCTGGACATCATATGTAAACCATTCTATCGGAATTTGTTGTCTTTTTTCTTTCGTAGGCTCAAGTTGCTTATGTTGTTGCGTTCAGTGTGCTTATCGTGGAAATCAGTAAGCTTTATTGTCCTTCTGTTCTTGATTCTTAAAATATACAAAAATTGTCTCCCACAGTCATGCTTCTATTAAAAGAGGGAAAAAAATCCAAATATATGTTTTGGTTAAAGTTCATTTTGGTGTCCGTATTTGATTAATGCAAATTACTTGAAAATGAAGGACACAGCCTATAACATGTATAAATTGAAGAAAAAGTTTTAGTGCGTCAATTTCAACAGCAAAATTACAATATTCAAAAACAATGAAAATGGTTGTGTGAGATTATCATCTGCATGAAATATGGTAAAAATATGATAGAATTGCTTTTGTGCTCTTTTCTGATGTTTGCACAAACAAATTGTAATTTTAAATACGATGCATGACGTACTTTAATTATTTTTGATGTAAAAGTGAGTAGGGGGTATTTGGAAGTCTTTTGGTCGTTTAATCTTAGGATATAATTTGTCGCGAAAAGGGCAGACTCTTATACCTTTTTTCCCACAAATTGTTTGTTGTTGTTTATTTATATCGTTGGGTAGCTGTTTTTATTTTGTCATGGAGTTGTCAGTTTGTCATCGCCTCTCTTAGTAAAGTTTTGATAAAAGTATCAAAAAGGTAAAATCTTGTAAACAAACTTTTGATAAAACCTTTATTTTCACAAGAATAACAAATACAGGCAATTGTAACAATAGTAATAATACATTTTAATGTAGAAATATTTAATTGCACTTGGATTTTCAATAAATTGTACGTTAATTTAATAGATCGTCATGCAGGAGAATAGTGCGATTGAATACAATGATTTTTTGGAAACCAAATCCCAAATTAAGGGATTTCCTAAGTACATAATTTATACACAAATGAATAAAATAAGATATTTGTTAAATAGAATCAACCTGTTAACCAAACAATTAACATAATTAAGAGGCAAATAAGAGCTACTTAAAAAACACTTCCTCCATTGTATGGTATGTTCAACTATAATTTGTAACTTCAACCAACTTTCGAAGCCATCAACTGCAAGACAAAATACTACTATAAAGTATAATGACGACTTCGATCTTACAGAATGAACTTATTGCAAACATATATAATAGTTTCTTCGAAGTGTTACTCTTGTGTCATATTATAATCATTGAAATAAATTTATCTATTAGAAAAAAATAGTTATAACAGTTTGTTTGGGGGAAATTCTAAAAGTTAAAACAATGATACAAGTAAAATTCACTTGAACATGTTGAACGCGGTCTGCCACTCACTAAATGCAAATTG